TGACCTGGAAGACACTAGCTTGATTGTTACCAGTCATATGAGCATGACGTCGTCCAGCTAGTTATGTACAGTATAGACTTGTTTTTTGACTCTCTGCCAGTCCTACCACTACCCTCCGTCACTAGTGCCCTGTTGCGGGTAGCATTCTGTGCCCTTGGCTTGGACATTGTATAATGTGTCTTTCTATAATCTACTTTGTATTTATTTTAACCACCACTCTACTGTCACGTCATAGAGATCATGGACAGTTTACTTTATGAGAAAATTAAATTCTGTGGGTCAATTTAAATCAAAATGTATGTGTCAAATACAACAGGTGTAGACTTTACCATGAAATGGTCTCCTGTAGCTCGGTTGGTAGAGCATGGCACTTGCAACGCCAGGGTTGTGGGTTCGATTCCCACGGGGGGCCAGTATGAAAAATGTATGCACCTAACTGTAAGTCGCTCTGGATAAGAGCGTCTGCTAAATGACTAAAATGTAAATGTAAAAAAAATGCTTACTTACGAGTTAAAAAGTACAAAAATTAGCAAATAAAAATAGTAACACAATAGATAACTATAACGAGGCTATACAAGGAGTACTGTGTGCAAAGGTAATATGTACATGTAGGTAGGGGTAAAAGTGAGTAGGCAATCAGGATAGATAATAAACAGAGTAGCAGCAGCATATGTGAAAAAGTATGAAAAAATGTGCGTGTGGTGTCAATGTGTGTGTTGGAGTGTCATTGTAAGTATGTGTGAGTGTGTGGGTAGAGTCCAGTGAGTGTGCATAGAGTCAGTGCAAGCGAGTCAGTGCAAAAAAGGTTAAATGCAAATAGTCAGTGTAGCCATTTGATTAACTGTTCAGCAGTCTTATGGCTTGGGGGTAGAAGCTGTTCAGGAGCCTTTTGGTCCCAGACTTGGCGCTCCGGTACCACTTGCCGTGTGGTAGCAGAATGAACAGTCTATCGCTTAGGTGGCTGGGGTCTTTGACAATTTTCTGGGCCTTCCATTGACACCACCTGGTATAGAGGTCCTGGATGGCAGGGAGCTCGGCCCCAGTGATGTACTGGGCCCTCCGCACCACCCTCTGTAGCGCCTTGCGGCCGGATGCCAAGCAGTTGCCATACCAAGCAGTGATGCAGCCAGTGAAGATGCTCTCAATTGTGCAGCTGTATAACCTTTTGAGGATTTGAAGACCAATGCCAAATTTTCAGCCTCCTGAGGAGGAAGAGGCGTTGTCGTGTCTTTTTCACGACTGTGTTGGTGTCTGTGGACCATGTTAATTCCTTAGTGATGTGTACACAGAGAAACTTGAAGCTCTCAACCCGCTCCACTACAGCCCCGTTGATGTGGATGGGGGCGTGGTCGGTCCTCCGTTTCCTGTAATCCACGATCAGCTCTTTTGTCATGCTGACGTTGAGGGATAGGTTGTTGTCTTTGCACCACACTACCAGATCACTGACCTCCTCCCTAAAGAGTGTCTCATCGTTGTCAGTGATCCGGCTTACCACTGTCGTGTCATCAGTAAACTTAATGATGGTGTTGGAGTCGTGCGAGGGCCACGCAGTCGTGGGTGAACAAAGAGTACAGGAGAGGACTAAGCACGCATCCCTGAGGGGCCCCGTGTTGAGGGTCAGCGTGGCGGATGTGTTGTTGCCTACTCTCACCACCTGGGGGTGGCCCGTCAGGAAGTCCAGGATCATAGTTGCAGAGGGAGAGGTTCAGTCCCAGGGTCCTGAGCTTAGTGATGAGCTTGGAGGGCACTATGGTGTTGAACGCTGAGCTGTAGTCAATGAACAGCATTCTCACATAGGTGTTTCTCTTATCCGGGAGAGGGCAGTGTGGAGTGCAATAGAGATAGCATCATCTGTGGATCTGTTGGGGAAGTATGCAAATTGGAGTGGGTCCAGGGTATCTGGGATGACGTTGTTCATGTGAGCCATGACCAGCCTTTCAAAGCATTTCATGGCTACATTGCTACGTAGCAGACAAATTGGTTAAACTTTAGCAGTTGATAGGTAATTAAGTTGTATTGATAAATGTGAACTGATGTATAGCTGCAGTGTGGTAATACATTAGATATTTTCTAAATGCCACCTGATAAGATATTATTATTTAATGCCAATAAAGATTAAATTAAATATATTAACTACTTTGATAGCAAAAAACGTTTTCTGAAGTGTGTTACGCTAGTCTACATCAATAAGATTGGGGGCTCACAGAGATAGCGGTTCACTCTGCCTTTTAGATGAGTTTAAGGCAAGCTTCATCATACACTTGACATAAAAACATGTCATACAAAAGGTAGCATTACTCTGTAGATACTGTATAGGATAGAAGCTTGGATGTTGTGTTTTGGAGCTAACAACAGATTGTGTTCCATTGGTGTGAGAATCAGAGAATGCAGATAATTTTCTCTTTGAGGGATTCTCCTCATCACCACACATTCTATGTTTCTCGCCAGCCACATACTATCCCATGACAACCTATTACAAGAGGATCTTTGAGATACAAATCCTGCTCTGTTTCAAACTGTGATTGAGTTAGAAAAGTGCCAGCTACAGATACAGTCCGATTTATCTTCAGTCTGACATTCTGAAACTATTGGGCCACACTTTATTTGGATAGTCCCATATACAGGTAACTGCCTAAATAAAGGAAACACCAACATAAAGTGTCTTAATAGGGCGTTGGGCCACCACGAGCCAGAACAGCTTCATGCACCATGGCATAGATTCTACATTTGTCTGGAACTCTATCGGAGGGATGCGACACCATTCTTCCTACATGAAATTCCATCAATTTATGTTTTGTTGATGGTGGTGGAAAACGCTAAATCGGGTGCCACCCCATAATCTCCCATAAGTGTTCAATTGGGTTGAGATCTGGTGAATGAGAAGGCCATGGCATTTTGTTTATACCGTTTTCATGCTCATCAAACCATTCAGTGACCACTCATACCCTGTGGATGGGGGCATTGCCATCCTATGGGGGCATAGCCATGGTAGCCAAAATATAGGCCTGCCCAGCATTTTTATACAGTACATGACCCTAAGCATGATTGGATGTTAATTGCTTAATTAACTGAGGAATCACACCTGTGTAGAAGCACCTGCTTTCAATATACATTGTATCCCTAATTTACTCAAGTGTTTCCATTATTTTAGCAGTTACCTGTAGATGATCTACAGATGGTCATACTATCAACAAATTATATGTTGATAAGAAACTACTTGCTAAGGTTATAGTTAAGGTTAGGGTTGTGTGTAGAATACGGGTTAGGGTAAGGGTTAAGGTGAGGAGAAGAGCTAGGGTTAGGTTTAGGGTTAGGATAAGGATTAAGGTTAGGGCCGGGGTTAGTGGATAGTTAGTTGAAATGTTGTTGACAGTTATTGAACATCTACTGAACATCTACAAACCATCTACTGGGGCCTATCCAAATAAAAAGTGTTACCAACTCTTGTATTTCATTCAAATGAAGGCCACATTTGTACCACAAATAGGACAGTGTATTACCTAATATAATAATATGCCATTTAGCAGACGCTTTTATCCAAAGCGACTTACAGTCATGCGTGCACACATTTTTTTGTGTATGGGTGGTCGCGGGGATCGAACCCACTACCTTGGTGTTACAAGCGCCGGGCTCTACCAGCTGAGCTACAGAGGACCACTAATGACTGTCAGTTACTTAAGCCTTCTCATCATCCATCCATGGCCATGCTACAGTAGTTGCATTGGTTTCCATGGGTTGAGCTATAGTGTGATTGATGTCATGTCTTTCTAAGTGATCTTCAGCAGCAGCCTAATTGTTATAGTGGGCCGGTAGTACTTGAGCCTGCCTGCTTCCTCCTCTATCCAGGCTAGTAATAGTGTTGGCTAATCAATATACACTCCCTCCCTCCTTCCCTTCACTGCTGTAGTGCACAGCGGGAACATTGAGTTTTTCCTCTATGTCAGGTCTATGCAGTGTTTTTCAGTGTGGCTGTAAGGGAAGGTGTGTGCAATGTGCTGTTGTGTGGGGGGTTGGGGGTTGAGGTCTGCTGCTGCACAGAGTGGGGTCACTGGGGAGCCTTGGCAGGTAGTTTGTTCTTGTCCAGGGACCAGGGAGGGAGTTGTCTGTTTTCATTTGGTGTTTGCCACGTTAGTCGCATGAACAATGGAATTTGCAAGGAAGGAAATACACTGTGAAAAGCAAATTCAATCGGCAGAAAAAGTTAGGTGTTGAATGAATTGGTTAGATAGTATGAAGGAGCAGTGAAAAGGGATATGGAAGTTATGGATAATGAATATGTTTCCACCGGACCTCCCAATACTAGAGTTAATATGCCATGTCCCAGCCTCAAGTTGCTCATCAGTGAGAAGACTATCATGTAGTCATTTCTGGAAAATTAGGTCTGCTTTTATGAGTTCAAAATCCATTACAACTCTTGAAATCAACTTGATCTATGATGGGCAGTTCAATCTAAAACTCAAATGATTAGCAACATGTTCATTTATAGACCTGCTAAAGAGTTGATAGTGAACAGATCTCACTTTGATGCTTATCTGGAGGTTGGCTTGTCCTGTACAGAACCCCTCTATGAGACTGGAGGTCAGGCTGTTCTGTGTGAACTCCATGGAGCAGACCTTCTGAAGAACTGCTGTGTCTGGACTATATGAAACACCTGAGCCGCTAGCTACCTGGTGTAGTCACTGCTCCAATACACCCACCCACTCATTCATACTAAGGGAGAGACCAAGTCATTCCACTAAATATATTTCTATATCCAAACAGTAGGCTACCTTGAGTACCACTGCCTGTCAATGTACTTGTTGGTATGTGACCGCTGCATATTTCATGAATATTAAAATGCCTACATGCTGCAACACAAATTGCCCTTTGGGACAATACAGATCTAGTCGTCTTTACTGTCTCTAAATAGATTGTAGATTAAATGTGAAGAGCTATTTTCATCACACTACTGTATCCCAGTTTCTTCCGCGACTGTATTTGATACCGATTCTTCTCGTAGGACTGAGTTCAAGGCCCACAGGGATGTGAAGCCAGTGAAGCTGATCCGAGCCAAGTCCCAGTTCCTTCCCCATGATGAGAAGACCAGCCTGGAGACCAGCTATAGCGCCACCTACAGGGGAGAGCAGGCCAAGCAGCAGCCCAACGACAACAAGGTTGTGGACAGGAGGAGGATACGCAGCCTGTACAATGAGCCCTACAAAGGGCTACAAGAGACCAAGGTGAGAATGTTTAAGCTCCTTTAAACCATGTCCTATTGACTACACCAATGGTACAGCCATAATGCAGCCCTAGTAAAAATAATCCTATAGGATACCCAAAAATAGGAGTCCAATAGGAGTGCTTCCATATCGGTCATACTGCAAATGAACTTGCAGCCTTGAATCCCTCCCATATTGTGATGGTGTGTTGAAGAGGTTGAGAAGCTCAGGGAATTTTCACTGGTGTGAATAGGCAAAGATATGGAGATTGTGCTCCAGAGACACGGGAGATAGACTGTTCCTCAGTTTACTGGTCTTTAATCTTGATTGCAGGTTAACATAAATGTTCAGGTTTCTGTGCCATATTTAGCTGTGAGAGTTACATTTTAGTAGACACTCTTTTCATCTAGTCGTCTCGGGGATTCGAACCAGCGACCTTTCGGTTACTGCCACCCATATTGTCCAATAAAGCTGTACTTTACTACTAATTGTAGTGTCCTTATAATGTGGTTTGAAAAAACAATGAATAGAATAATATCAATATTATGGCTTGACAGGTTATAATAATTAGGCAGTGCGAATGAACAGGCTGCTGCACAGTCACTATGGGAGCTCTTTCTAGAGCGGCTGGTTAAATCGTGCAGAAGAGCATTTTTTTACTCTGTAAATGGTTAAACTAGTGAGAAATATATGTGTACACTATCAGCCTAAATTGAAATGTTGATTTATTTTTATATACTCAATTATTTTATAATAATAATAATAATAATATTGTGCTAATTTCCTGTACGTGGACAGTATGTGTTAGTTACTACATTACACAACCTCACGTTTTGACCACATCGAATTGAGGGTAATTGGACATATTTTTTACCTCACATTAGTGATGTTAGTATAAACATTCATAGTAATCACAATAACGCGAAATCAATTGTTTAAAATAGATCAATATCATTAGTTTTGTATTGTTGATTTTGTCATACGCGCTGGCGGGGCGCTCTCTGTATAAAAGTCGCTGGCCTCATATGTATACATGGATTTGAGAGTCAAACTGTCACTCAAATAAGAGCCAACCATTGTCACTGTTGATATCCTATGGCGGGTTGTGATTCGTTGAAGTTAAATAACAAAGCAACTGATTTGTTTCCTTACCCTGTTTCGGCAGCCTCCCAAAACGTCCATCCGACATTCTAGAATTTAGATGACTAGTCTTCAGCAAATTCTCTTCTAACCAGTGATATGAAAATTATTCTCAGATTCAGTGTGGCCTTTGACTAGTGTTAGTTTAAACAGTGCATACACACCAAACATTTTCCCCCACTCTATTGATTTCAAATTGATATGAGTGTTTAACAATGCAGTGTTGCGTTTACCTTTCCGCATTAGTGACCCACTTGAAACAAAATACAACAATCCAAACTGTAGCTTGATGTCTTCTACATGTTGTCCTTTAATGAGTGATATACATATTATTCCCATATTCCATGTAGTTTTTTTTGTACATTTACCCCTTTTTTCTCCCCAATTTCGTGATATCCAATTTGGTAGTTACAGTCTTGTCCCATCGCTGCAACTCCCCTACGGACTCGGGAGATGCGAAAGTCGAGAGCCATGCATCCTCCGAAACACGACCCTGCCAAGCCGCACTGCTTCTTGACACACTGCTCCCTTAACCCGGAAGCCAGCCGCACCAATGTGTCAGAGGAAACACTGTCCAGCTGGTGACCGCAAGTCAGCTTGCAGGCGCCCGGCCTGCCACAAGGAGTCGCTAGAGCGCGATGGGACAAGGACATCCCGGCCGGCCAAACCCTCCCCTAACCCGGACGATGCTGGGCCAACTGTGCGCTGCCTCATGGGTCTCCTGGTCACGGTCGGCTGTGACACAGCCTGAGATCGAACCCGGGTCTGTAGTGACGCCTCAAGCACTGCAATGCAGTGCCTTAGACTGCTGCTCCACTCGGGAGGCCGTGCCTTGTTGTTTTTTTAGTAAGGTTAGTTTGAAGAGGACACGTAACCCGACTCCCCACTCTCAACGTGATATCAATGAGTGATTGACAAATAAGTGTTGCATTTCTCTTTCCGTTTTGGCGACCCCCAAAAATCGAAATGCATCACTCCAAAATGTAGCTGGTTGTCTTCAGCAGGTGGTCCTCTAACGAGTGATGCAAACAATATTTCCAGTTTCCATGTGGTTTTTTGAGTTGTGTTAGTTTCAACAGCACATACAGTGGGGAGAACAAGTATTTGATACACTGCCGATTTTGCAGGTTTTCCTACTTACAAAGCATGGAGGTCTGTAATTTTTATCACAGGTACACTTCAACTGTGAGAGACGGAATCTAAAACAAAAATCCAGAAAATCACATTGTATGATTTTTAAGTAATTAATTTGCATTTTATTGCATGACATAAGTATTTGATCACCTACCAACCAGTAAGAATTCCGGCTCTCACAGACCTGTTAGTTTTTCTTTAAGAAGCCCTCCTGTTCTCCACTCATTACCTGTATTAACTGCACCTGTTTGAACTCGTTACCTGTATAAAAGACACCTGTCCACACACTCAATCAAACAGACTCCAACCTCTCCACAATGGCCAAGACCAGAGAGCTGTGTAAGGACATCAGGGATAAAATTGTAGACCTGCACAAGGTTCTGATGGGCTACAGGACAATAGGCAAGCAGCTTGGTGAGAAGGCAACAACTGTTGGCGCAATTATTAGAAAATTGAAGAAGTTCAAGATGACGGTCAATCACACTCGGTCTGGGGCTCCATGGAAGATCTCACCTCGTGGGGCATCAATGATCCTGAGGAAGGTGAGGGATCAGCCCAGAACTACACGGCAGGACCTGGTCAATGACCTGAAGAGAGCTGGGACCACAGTCTCAAAGAAAACCATTAGTAACACACTACGCCGTCATGGATTAAAATCCTGCAGCGCACGCAAGGTCCCCCTGCTCAAGCCAGCGCATGTCCAGGCCCGTCTGAAGTTTGCCAATGACCATCTGGATGATCCAGAGGAGGAATGGGAGAAGGTCATGTGGTCTGATGAGACAAATATAGCTTTTTGGTCTAAACTCCACTCGCCGTGTTTGGAGGAAGAAGGATGAGTACAACCCCAATAACACCATCCTAACTGTGAAGCATGGAGGTGGAAACATTCTTTGGGGATGCTTTTCTGCAAAGGGGACAGGACGACTGCACCGTATTGAGGGGAGGATGGATGGGGCCATGTATCACGAGATCTTGGCCAACAACCTCCTTCCCTCAGTAAGAGCATTGAAGATGGGTCGTGGCTGGGTCTTCCAGCATGACTATGACCCGAAACACACAGCCAGGGCAACTAAGGAGTGGCTCCGTAAGAAGCATCTCAAGGTCCTGGAGTGGCCTAGCCAGTCTCCAGACCTGAACCCAATAGAAACATCTTTGGAGGGAGCTGAAAGTCCGTATTGCCCAGCGACAGCCCCGAAACCTGAAGGATCTGGAGAAGGTCTGTATGGAGGAGTGGGCCAAAATCCCTGCTGCAGTGTGTGCAAACCTGGTCAAGACCTACAGGAAACATATGATCTCTGTAATTGCAAACAAAGGTTTCTGTACCAGATATTAAGTTCTGCTTTTCTGATGTATCAAATACTTATGTCATGCAATAAAATGCAAATTAATTACTTAAAAATCATACAATGTGATTTTCTGGATTTTTTGTTTTAGATTCCGTCTCTCACAGTTGAAGTGTACCTGTGATAAAAATTACAGACCTCCATGCTTTGTAAGTAGGAAAACCTGCAAAATCGGCAGTGTATCAAATACTTGTTCTCCCCACTGTACAACCTGATTTCTCCCCTAATCAATATGAGTGATCAATTGCCACTTGTCAAAACAGGGTTTTTGGTGCATATGCAGTTTATAAGGTGCTCGTAAAATAAAATACAAGCAATATGATCACTATTTTGGCACATGTATGTGTAGGTAGTACATTTTATGTTTCGGTTTTCAATATATCACAAACTGTTTATTGATTTGGACACTTCAAAACAGTGTTTTGACATTGGGCTATTTATCAAAAGTTATTGTCAATGGGAAGCAGCAACAGCATCATTTTCAACGTATGTTTTAGGAATATAAATGGAAGTTTCAAAATAAATTTCAATAGTATTATACTTAATGAGGTAAAAACTACTGAGTGAGTCCAAAAACGTGATGTGATTGATATATTTTGATGATCTACCAGAAAACATGAAAACGGAGTTGACTTGCCTATAATAAAAGGCACATACACTACCGGTCAAACGTTTTAGAACACCTACTCATTCAAGGGTTTCTTTATTTGTACTATTTTCTACATTGTAGAATAATAGTGAAGACATCAAAGCTATGAAATAACACATATGGAATCATGTAGTAACCAGAAAAAGTGTTAAACAAATTAAAAAATATGTTTGAGATTCTTCAAATAGCCACCCTTTGCCTTGATGACAGCTTTGCACACTCTTGGCATTCTCTCAACCAGCTTCACCTGGAATGCTTTTCCATCAGTCAAAGGAGTTCCCACATATGCTGAGCACTTGTTGGCTGCTTTTCCTTCACTCTGCGGTCCGACTCATCTCAAACCATCTCAATTTGGTTGAGGTCGGGGGATTGTGGAGGAAAGGTAATCTGATGCAGCACTCCATTACTCTCCTTCTTGGTAAAATAGCCCTTACACAGCCTGGAGGTGTGTTGGGTCATTGTCCTGTTGAAAAACAGATGATAGTCCCACTAAGCCCAAACCAGATGGGATGGCGTATCGCTGCAGAATGCTGTGGTAGCCATGCTGGTTAAGTGTGCCTTGAATTCTAATTAAAATCACAGACAATGTTACCAGCAAAGCACCCCCACACCATAACACCTCCTCCTCCATGCTTTATGGTGGGAAATACACATGCGGAGATCATCCGTTCACTCACACCGCGTCTCACAAAGACACGGCAGTTGGAACCAAAAATCTCCAATTTGGACTCCAGACCAAAGGACAAATTTCCACCAGTCTAATGTCCATTGCTCGTGTTCTTGGTCCAAGCAAGTCTTCTTCTTTTGGTGTCCTTTAGTAATGGTTTCTTTGCAGCAATTCGACCATGAAGGCCTGATTCACACAGTCTCCTCTGAACAGTTGATGTTGAGATGTGTCTGTTACTTGAACTCTGTGAAGCATTTATTTGTGCTGCAATTTCTGAGACTGGTAACTCTAATGAACTTATCCTCTGCAGCAGAGGTAACTCTGGGTCTTCCATTCCTGTGGCGGTCCTCATGAGAGCCAGTTTCATCATAGCGCTTGATGGTTTTTGTGACTGCACTTGAAGAAATTTTCAAAGTTCTTGAAATGTTCCGTATTGACTGACCTTCATGCCTTAAAGTAATGATGGACTGTCGTTTCTCTTTGCTTATTTGAGCTGTTCTTGCCATAATATGGACTTGGTATTTTACCAAGTAGGGCTATCTTCTGTATACCCCACCACCTTGTCACAACACAACTGATAGGCTGAAACGCATTAAGAAGGAAAGAAATTCCACAAATGAACATTTAACAAGGCACACCTGTTCATTCCAGGTGACTACCTCATGAAGTTGTTGAGAGAATGCCAAGAGTGTGCGAAGCTGTCATCAAGGCAAAGGGTGGCTATTTGAAATATTTTGATTAGTTTTTTTGGTTACTACATGATTCCATGTGTTATTTCATAGTTTTGATGTCTTCACTATTATTCTACAATGTAGAAAATAGTAAAAATAAAGAAAAACCCTTGAATGAGTAGGTGTTCTAAAACTTTTGACCAGTAGTGTATATTTAGCAATAACAAACAAGAAAAAACATTTCTCATCTGCTATAAAACAATACAGTGACTCAAAAACAACATACAAATGGCTACAACAAAGCTATCTAGCTAGCTAGTCAGTTGACAGGCAAAATGTGGCTAACAGTAGTTTCTTAGCTAGCAAGAAACAAGTGCATAAAATACTATACAATGACGAAAATATTACTAAAACATTGACAACTTCACCAGGAAACATAAGGAAACAAATACTGTACTCACAGATCTTGCATTCACGCACAGTGAAGGATAAAACAGATAGAATAATAGTGATAGAAAACCAGAGATTCTCTGCACAGCCACAGGTGGCGAGCTGAACTTGGGAGTTAGGCTAATTAACACTGGGAGCTCGTTATAGCTGTGCTGTCATCAGTCAGTCTTAAAGGGACAGGCTTTCTTACAGGTGAATAAAACAGAAATGAATATAGAACTGTTGTTTCCGATCAACATTTTTTGTTTTGTTATTAAAGTTGTTGTATTCTACTGGAACACATTTTTTATTTATTTTTATTTAACCTTTATTTAACCAGGTAAGCCAGTTGAGATCAAGTTCTCATTTACAACTGCGACCTGGCCAAGGTAAAGCAAAGCAGTGCGATAAAAACAACAACAACACAGAGTTAAATATGGGATAAACAAAACGTACAGTCAATAACACAATAGAAAATCTATATACAGTGTGTGCAAATGTAGTAAATTATGGAGGTAAGGCAATAAATAAATAGGCCATAGTGCAAAATAATTACAATTTAGTATTAACACTGGAATGATAGATGTGCAGAAGATGATGTGCAAATAGAGATACTGGGGTGCAAATGAGCAAAATAAATAACAATATGGGGATGAGGTAGTTGGGTGGGCTAATTACAGATGGGCTGTGTACAGATGCAGTGATTGGTAAGCTGCTCTGACAACTGATGCTTAAAGTTAGTGAGGGAGATAAGAGTCTCCAGCTTCAGAGATTTTTGCAGTTCGTTCCAGTCATTGGCAGCAGAGAACTGGAAGGAATGGCGACCAAAGGAGGTGTTGGCTTTGGAGATGACCAGTGAGATATACCTGCTGGAGCGCATACTACGGGTGGGTGTTGCTATGGTGACCAATGAGCTAAGATAAGGCGGGGATTTGCCTAGCAGTGATTTATAGATGACCTGGAGCCAGTGGGTTTGGCGACGAATATGTAGTGAGGGCCAGCCAACGAGAGCGTACAGGTCACAATGGTGGGTAGTATATGGGGCTTTGGTGACAAAACGGATGGCACTGTGATAGACTACATCCAATTTGCTGAGTAGAGTGTTGGAGGCTATTTTGTAAATGACATCGCCGAAGTCAAGGATCGGTAGGATAGTCAGTTTGACAACAAACTATAATTTAATGGGTTCAATTAAGAAAAAAAGTTCTAATAGTATTCGGATTGGGGTGACAAAATCATCAAGGCTTATCAAAAACCTATAGGATCCAATCTGATTACTTTGATTTCCAATAAGAAAAAAAGTAGTCCAATAGGATTCCAATAGGATTCTGATAGGATTGTGAGAATCAAATACGGTCCAATAGGAAAAAATAGTCCAATATAATTCCAATAGGATTCTGAAACAGGTGACACAAAATCCTATAGGACTGTGAGAATCTTATTGGATCCAATATGATTACTTTTTATTTCCAATAGGAAAAAAGTAGTCCAATAGGATTCTGATAGAGGTGACACAAAATCCCATAGGATTGTGAGAATCCTCTAGGATTCTATTGGAAAAATCACTAATCCTATAGGATTTTTTGACTAGGGAGATCATCTCCTATTCAGAACCACAGCCTCCTAGAGTTCATTTTCAAACCCACAGTCCTTGTGAATGACAGAATATTTCTCCTGCTGTTCTGTTTACTGTGTATGTTGTGATGGCAAAACACATCTAATAGTCATAATGAAACAAACACAGTATCAGACCAAGGACAGTTGCAGCTTTTTTCACAGAAATTGACTCCTGTTGCTAATGTCTTGGATGATAGAATATTTAAAGAATCCCCATCTTCCCCCATCACCTGTGCCTAGGTTGAGAGGTCTAACAGTGCTCCCCGATCCAAACCCAAAAAGGCGGGCACCAGGTTAGCGAGCCAGGGGGGAAAATCTGTGAAGAAGGCTGAAGAGCAGAAGCAGCAGGGCAGCACAGCACTGCAGGGCACAAAGAAGAAGACCTCGGAGAACCAGCCCACTGATTCCAGGCCTGCGGAGGGGGACAAGGAGAAAAGTAAAGAGATGAACAACAAACTGGCTGAGGCAAAAGAGTAAAAATAATTTAGCACTACTTCTACCTTGTATTCTTCTTTGAGGGAAAGAACACGAAGGCTGCAAAATTAATTAGAGGTTCTCATCCCCTTTTATGTTTTGTCTCTCTTTTCTCTCTCTCTCTCTCTCTCTCTCTCTCTCTCTCTCTCTCTCTCTCTCTCCTCTCTCTCTCTCTCTCTCTCTCTCTCTCTCTCTCTTCTCTCTCTCGACTATCTATCTATCATCTCGCTCTCTCTCTCTCTCGCTCCTCTCTTTATATTATATATATATATATACTTTCTCTGCTCTCTCTCTCTTTCACTCTCTTCTCTCTGCCTCTTGGCTGTTAGTAGTAGTTACAGTAAATGTCACGGTTGGGACATGACATGTCGTTTCTTCCTTGCCTCACATTACATTAGATCACCGTAGTAATGAGGGGATGTGTGCATCCGCTTCCTCTACTTCCCGATGCCACCGACCACCCCCCTCTCTCCGTCTCCATCTCAAGGTTGCCATGGCTACCAATGAACGGCGTGTGCTATTGTTGCATGAGCTCACCGACTAGCAATCCTGTGTGGTTGGCTTCCATCTTCCAACTGAACAGATTGCTTTGTTGAGTTTATCAAGGATTTTTGGGAAAGAGAATACCATGTAAATTGGCTCACTGAATGGACTTGATATTTATAGCAGTAACTTGCTAAATTTATCCAAAGATAGACACTCATCTAGAAAAATGGTCTGAAAATCTTTGATAAATGTGCAGCTTGGGTTTTTCTAGAGTGTATCGATCCATGGCTGAGTTTGTGCCTGTTCTGTAGGTCCTGAATGCTGTCTTCCTGTGCACACGGCCTCCAAGTCTGTCTGTAATCAGATTGCCATTACTAAGATGCTTTGTTAAACTTTGCCATCATTCTTGAATGCAATCTTATTTTTTAAACCTAATAACTGTTGATTGTGGATGATGTGAGAATGGTTTTCAACAAAGAATTGTCAGGATAACTTTTAAAACCTCATACCGTCTCATTCAAATTGTTCTCTCTATTCGCAGGAAAATTTGTTCATCAAGTTATTTTAAAGGTCAGACAAGGCTTGTTTCATCAACCTTGTTGCCAAACTAGGAGCCATCTGGGTTACTGTAACATGATTATGCATTACTAGAGCAGTCATTTGCACAGCAGATGAGAATTTCCACTGAATTAAATGTTACTATTATGCAATTATAATTACATTAGCCATTTGAATAACTACATTACATGTCACTGAGTCACGATAGGAAATTGATATTGTGGCTCTGTGGTCTTTAGCTATGCTTACACCCAGGCCATGCAGACTCTATGTAGATATAGCTCAGTGGAGTGGCAGGATCGCTTTTTAATCCTACATAGAGCAGCCTAACCTATAACCTCACATGCCCCCGCCTACAGCCCCTCCCTGCCTCTCAGACACACACACACACACACACACACACACACACACACACACACACACACAACACACGCACACACACACACACACACACACACAGTCATGGTTGACTGTAACCAACGTGATTAGGCCCCCATGGAACTAGCAGATGGGATCCCAGCAACGCTATTCACATCCCAGAGGTCTAAAGAGGTGTCTGGCTGGATGTGATATTAGTCCACACTAGTAGGAGCAGATTCATGGTTTTATAATTATACGTCATATATTATGTTTTATTTATTCATCTATTTATTTGGGTATAAAACACTGAATACCACCTCTGCTAATACCTCTCTTTATTGAATAATAATGAGTCTGTGATGTGATGATAAGTTTAATTCTGGTAGTTTGGAATGCTTATTTTTCTCAAATTATTATCTGTATGTGTCTGTCTAACACAGGCCTCAGACAACTGGCCTCTTCCCTGAACCAGGTGTGTGTTTAAGTGTGTGGATTTGATTAGGTTGGCAAGTTTATGTGTAGATGTCAAGATTATATTCAACGCATTCAACTTCAAATCAATCTCTCTCTGCTGCCTTCCATGGCAATCTAAATATTGTAGGCATAACAATGTAGAACAACTTGATATTTGTCCCCTGTGATTTCATTGAATTAGGACAAGCAGCGAAACTCAATTCTATATTTGGTTTACATTTGTATCATACTTCTGCAAATGTTTGCAGTTTCTTGAATGGGATATAATGAGTGAGCAAGGAAAATTATCTGTATTACAAACGAAAACCTAATTATGTCAAAAATAATCAAGTTAGACTAGTCCCCTTTGTATTGGCTGTATAGTGCCAGTAGTGCTATATTTGCTGTAAGTAATAGTATGTCTTAGCAGACAGTAGTAAAGACCAGAACAGCATCTCAAACTCCTGGGATGGGATAGGCCTCAATAGAGCAGTGCATTGTGCAGGACTTGTCTTGTCATGGGCCAACCCCCACACTCCCCACACTCCCCACACTCCCCAGTCTCTTTCTTGTGCTGTTGTCATCTGTTGTGCTAGTCAGTGTCCCCTGACTCCCTCCCTCCCCTCAGTTTTGAGTACTGGAGTGTCTTGTCTCTCCATTTGCCATGGTGGTGTCTTGGTTAGTAAATCACAATGAATCACCACACCGTATTCCACTCAGACTGAGCATGCGCCCAGGGAGCGGAGGGCGAGGGCCATCTTATTAGCATTTTGCAGCCTTTGGTTGGGGAAGAGGGGATGCTTTCTCTCGTAACACATGAAGGGGGGGTCGGGGGGTCGGGGTCGTACATGTAAAGTGCTGACACACAACACATCGATTTTGAATCCAAGCATTAGAAACAAACAAAAAATATAAAGTAATAATGGTACAAAGAAGTTATGTATTGGGCCAAAAAAATATACTGTGACGTGCTTGTGTTTCTCTCTGCTTGCTCCTATTTACTGAAATATGAATAAATGCAAAAGCGGAAAAAGCAGTGTCCTCTTGGTTCTTTGTGTTGAAACGTATGGAGTAGGGTGAAAAAACAGTGGTTGCAGGTATTTGTTTAAATGTTTTTGTGTCTTTGTCTTTGTGAGACATGAGATGACTTTTAGAGCGTGAATCCACATGGAAGAGAATTTTGCCTTCAGATTTTCTTTAGCGCTTATCAAAGCTCATCAAAGACATTCTGGCGTGAGTTCTGACATCCTTTCAAGAGCTTGAATATTGCTGCTACAGTATATTAGAGCTGAGGAATATATTATTTTGCATCATGTGTCCCAATATATTCCAAGACCTCGCCTTGATTATACAGCAATGTGCAAGTCAAGGATGGGTAGAACATTATTACAGAATTAGATACACTGGGCCAACAAACTGTACAAATGTACACAATGTAATGATTTATGAAATGTCTTTTTTTGGCTGTGAGAATGTGAGACATTTGGATATATTTTCTGAAACCATTTGAATCATGTAATTACTATATTTTTCAGCTTTATCTGGTATCGTGATTAGCTTTTTGAGGATGTGAAATCCTACATCTAGAAAACCTAATGAGTGACATTCTGATTCATTTGAAGGGTTGTGCTAAAACAGTACCACTACATACAGCTCTGTCAGCCAATCCGTGATACAGGCTGGGTGCAGACGCTAAAGCAACACCTGTGGGGCTGTACACTACCCATTCCAAGGTAACCTAAAAACACACCCAGCCGCCACAAGCCACAAATCTCTCATTATCATTTGTACAGTGAGGAAAAAAAGTATTTGATCCCCTGCTGATTTTGTACGTTTGCCCACTGACAAAGACATGATCAGTCTAAAATTTTAATGGTAGGTTTATTTGAACAGTGAGAGACAGAATAACAACAAAAAACATCCGGAAAAAAATGCATGTCAAAAATGTTATGAATTGATTTGATTTTTAATGAGGGAAATAAGTATTTGACCCCTCTGCAAAACATGACTTAGTACTTGGTGGCAAAACCCTTGTTGGCAATCACAGAGGTCAGACGTTTCTTGTAGTTGGCCACCAGGTTTACACACATCTCAGGAGGGATTTTGTCCCATTCCTCTTTGCAGATCTTCTCCAAGTCATTAAGGTTTCGAGCCTGACGTTTGGCAACTCTAACCTTCAGCTCCCTCCACAGATTTTCTATGGGATTAAGGTCTGGAGACTGGCTAGACCACTCCAGGACCTTAATGTGCTTCTTCTTGAGCCACTCCTTTGTTGCCTTGGCCGTGTGTTTTGGGTCATTGTCATGCTGGAATACCCATCCACGACCCATTTTCAATGCCTGGCTGAGGGAAGGAGGTTCTCACCCAAGATTTGACGGTACATGGCCCCGTCCATCGTCCCTTTGATGCGGTGAAGTTGTCCTGTCCCCTTAGCAGAAAAACACCCCCAAAGCATAATGTTTCCACCTCCATGGTTGATGGTGGGGATGGTATTCTTGGGGTCATAGGCAGCATTCCTCCTCCTCCAAACACGGCGAATTGAGTTGATGCCAAAGAGCTCAATTTTGGTCTCATCTGACCACAACACTTTCACCCAGTTCTCCTCTGAATCATTCAGATGTTCATTGGTAGACTTCAGACGGGCCTGTATATGTGCTTTCTTGAGCAGGGGGACCATGCGGGCGCTGCAGGATTTCAGTCCTTCACGGCGTAGTGTGTTACCAATTGTTTTCTTGGTGACTATGGTCCCAGCTGCCTTGAGATCATTGACAAGATCCTCCCGTGTAGTTCTGGGCTGATTCCTCACCGTTCTCATGATCATTGCAACTCCACGAGGTGAGATCTTGCATGGAGCCCCAGGCCGAGGGAGATTGACAGTTATTTTGTGTTTCTTCCATTTGCGAATAATCGCACCAACTGTTGTCACCTTCTCACCAAGCTGCTTGGCGATGGTCTTGTAGCCCATTCCAGCCTTGTGTAGGTCTACAATCTTGTCCCTGACATCTTTGGAGAGCTCTTTGGTCTTGGCCAGAGTTTGGAATCTGATTGATTGATTGCTTCTGTGGACAGGTGTCTTTTATACAGGTAACAAACTGAGATTAGGAGCACTCCCTTTAAGAGTGTGCTCCTAATCTCAGCTCGTTACCTGTATAAAAGACACCTGGGAGCCAGAAATCTTTTTGATTGAGAGGGGGTCAAATACTTATTTCCCTCATTAAAATGCAAATCAATTTATAACATTTCTGACATGCGTTTTTCTGGATTTTGTTGTTGTTATTCTGTCTCTCACTGTTCAAAGAAACCTACCATTAAAATTATAAACTGATAATTTCTTTGTCAGTGGGCAAACGTACAAAATCAGCAGGGGATCAAATACTTTTTTCCCTCACTGTATGTGCTCATAAAATGTAATTCAAAGTCATGATTTCTTCGATATTTGATAGTGGCACAGTTTTGTTTTGAAAGTGACCCACCATGAATCTCTCTGTACTAGGATACAGTTCCCACCAGGCCAGATCTCTCCTTTATTTCTCTTCCATATGGAAACTAGAGTAGGGGAGTGAGTGAGTGAATGAGTGAGTGAGTGAGTGAGTGGTTATGTCTGTCTGTCTGTCTGTCTGTCTGTCTGTCTGTATGTCTGTCTGTCTGTGTGTCTGTGTGTCTGTGTGTGTGTGTGTGTGTGTGTGTGTGTGTGTGTGTGTGTGTGTGTGTGTGTGTGTGTGTGTGTGTGTGTGTGTGTGTGTGTGTGTGTGTGTGTGTGAGTGAGTGGGTCTGTCTGTCTGGCTGTCTGTCTGTCTGGCTGGCTGTGTGAGTGAGTGCTTGCAAGTTGGCTGTCACATCCTATCAATCAAATTGCAATCAATCAACCAACTTTGGAGCCCTCTATGAGCTACTGGAAGATGCTAGATGCATTCATTGCTCGTGGTTAGATAAAAAATAGGTCAAGGCTAAACAAATTGCATGGCTGTGTAGTAAAATGTGACTGTTAAATTATTCACACAGATGACTAGAGATCGCCTATCCTTTTCTATTTTTAGAGCAACTGGATTAGCCATACCATGCAATCACTGTATTATTTGATATAACATTATTTTATATTATAGCAAAGTGATATTGTAATTACCCGCATGTTACCAGTATGATTATATAGAAATGATTAATAAACATGTTGGATAACACACCTACAGATAGATGTTTATATTAACACATAGTTATCCATCTTAACTTTTTTGTTGTATCATTGTTGATAATTTGATGTAATGATGTTATGTTGTTTGAGTGAGACCGGTAATCCAAATGTTATATCGTAGTACCAAATGTGATACTAAATATAAACATTCTTAAATGTTTATTCAATGTGTATTGGGGTGGGTTTGAATATGGTGGGTGTACTGAAACTCTAGCTGGAAAGAGAGACAATTCTGCTACTAGAGAAGATTGTAAGTGCATGTTTTAATCTCCTTAAGTTTCTAGCTCATTTTAGGTTAGATTATTCCTGAATGTCCTATGGCTGTTTATCCTTGAACACCCTGAGCCTCTCATTAGACTCTCATTATTGCAATTAGTGTGCTTTAGCTTTTAGTCTGAGAAGGTTTCAGCTGAGAGATTCGATTCAAACTCGAGGAGCAGTGGCTATTTATTGATCTGAACATAGTTACACAAAATCCCTCGACAGAAAAATAATCAAATCCTCACTGATTGAAGAACAATGCCAACTTTTGTTCGGATTTGAGGAAGGTACTGTATGTGTCTTCTTTGTAAATGGCAACATTCTGTTCCAGAATGATGATTATGGAAAAAAATATTCATTGTTTAAGTCCACCAACACAGTCTTTTTGAGCAACTTTAGGTTTAGTGACAAGAAACCAAGAGAGTAGCTTTGTCTGAGACTGAGCTTCATGACCCCACAGTATCAGTCTGATGTTGTCCACTGATATGAGCAGTCACAGGGTGCTCAACTCAGCAGAACCATTTGTGATTGTCCTCTAAGAAACACCTCATCTTGTGTCTCTTTGTTTTTGTCTTTTTCTTTATATTTTAACTATGTGCTGCCTCACCTCCTAGAGAGCCTAATGGTGAGGTTCTCCGACCCAGTGATCATCATTCCCAGGGTGCCGTTGGAGGAGAACCAGAACCACTGCTGGAAAGACCCGAACCACGGAGGAGCGGCGGAGTCGTGCGCTTTTCCCCGGATGTAAAGTAGAAGTAGATCCACTTGATCTGCACTGTAGGGACATATTGTACTGTAGGCCTATTGTATACAGAGATGGACTAATGTCCTGATCTGTTCTGTACTGTAAATATCTAGTATTTTCAACTGAGTTCTATTAAAAAAGAGAAATACCCCATTAAGAACTCCTCTGAGTGAAGTTAAACCCATATAGGATGCACGTAGCGTGTTTGAAACAGCTTAATGGCAGTGCGGTCATAGCTGTTTGAGCAATTGCAAATGCAAAAGGTGCTATAAATAGAATTTCCGTTACATGCTCTTGTTTGAAAATAATGTGTTTTATTGGTAATGATGTTAGAAATGCCAAATCATAAAGTGCTTATTGAAAAAATTAAACGGTACTGTATATTGATACATTCAAATGCAAATAAATATAGATAACTAATGGATTTGCTAATCTGTATTGTATTGTTATTGGTGTGTGAAGCTTACAATAAACACAATTCAACATGTGAAACACACTCACATAACAATATCAAGGTTCTCAGGCCACCCTTTTGTAAAGCAGAAATGCTTTAGGACACATTCATTCTAGTCAAGTGAATATTTATGTGCGAGTGCTTGGCTGGAGCAGCAGTGTGAAGGAGGTTTGAGGTCTTGGCTGGAACAGCTGTTTCTCTGTCACTCCTCATATTACTCTTCATTAAATACCCCTCTCTCGTTTATTTGATTGGGCAGTAAAAGATGAGGAAAGAGTTAGTATTAAATAATAAGGATAGTCAGTGTAGACACTGAGACATCTGCCTGTACAGATGTGCTCTGCAGCCTCCTCCTCAATGTGCCTACCCCAGAGGAGTAAACACACGCATGCACACAAGACTTTGATGTGAAGCCTTCACATCTTCACATGATGCCACAAGGACTTGAGTTGCTCATCAGGATTGGAGGACTCGTATCTCATCACACACAAGTCTCCTCCTACTACCAGTAAACATCTAGTTAATACAATGTTCAAAAGCAATGAATAGGAAATCATAGCCAACAAACCGTCCAACTAGAATCTTTTTGTACAGTTATTGTCGGTTATAATGATTAGAAGATATTTCAGTAATTGTCTATATAAAGCTGTTGTCTATGACAGGGAAATATTTTTTTTTTTCTCACCCACCTACACACAATACCCCACAATGACAAAGTGAAAACATGTTTTTAGAAATGTTAGCAAAAAAAAAAAAAAATATCTCCAATACTATTCACACCCCTGAGTCAATAATTTGTATATAAAAATTCTGAAAAACATAATTCCACTTTGACATTATGGGGTATTGTGTGTAGGCCAGTGACAAAAACATCTAAATTCAATCAATTTTAAATTCAGGCACAACACAACAAAATATGGAAAAAGTAAAAGGGTGTGAATACTTTCTGAAGGCACTGACTGTACAAAACATTAAGAACACTTGCTCTTTCCATGACATAGACTGACCAGGTGAATCCAGGTGAAAGCTATGATCCCTTATTGATGTCACTTGTTAAATCCACTTCAATCAGTGTAAATGAAGGGGAGGAGACAGGTTAAAGAAGGATTTATAAGCCTTGAGACAATTGAGACATGGATTGTGTATGTGTGCCATTCAGAGGGTGAATGGGCAAGACAAAATATGTAAGTGCCTTTGAACAGGGCATGGTAGTAAGTGCCAGGCACACAAGGTTGAGTGTGTCAAAGAACTGCAATGCTGCTGGGTTGTTCATGCCCAATAGTTTCCTGTGTGTATCAAGAATGGTCCACCACCCAAAGGACATTAAGTCAACTTGACACAACTGTGGGAAGCATTGGAGTCAACATGGGCCAGCATCCCTGTGGAACGCTTTTGACACATTTACGTCATTTAGCAGACGCTCTTATCCAGAGCGACTTACAAATTACACCTTGTAGAGTCCACGCCCCGACGAATTGAGGCTGTTCTGAGGGCAAAAGAGGGGGGTGCAACTCAACATTAGGATGTTTTGTACACTCAGTATATACTGTATATGCCATTTAGCAGACCCTTCTATCCAAAGCGACACAGTCATGCGTGCATGCATTTTACATATGGGTGGCCCCAGGAATCAATCCCACAACCCTGGCAGTGCAAGCGCTTTGCTCGACCAACTGAGCCATACAGGACCATGCAGTAATAAGACCTTTTAAAGTAGTGAATGTCCTCACCTTCAGCGGTAATTATGTAGATGAGGTGCTTAGACCAAGCCCTGGCTGATAATGGTACATAAATGGACAATGGGCTAAAAGTAAGAGGAAGAAAGAAGATTAATTAGTAATGACCTGTGTGAATTCTGAGCACTGAGAAGGGACTGGTCTGAAAGCCCAGGGAGATGACTGAACACAGACAGACCGACTGTTAGGGCAATAAATGTTGTCTGTGCCTGTCCTATCTGTCACAGAGACAGACAGACTCAGATAAATGGACTGGGGATGGAAGGGGGGGGGGGGGGGGGACAGAAGGATCAAATTGCAGCCTTTCCATGGATGTGTGGCTCAGCTGCCTCCTAGAATGCTGTTTATTGGATGTTAAAAATAAATACATTACTCTTCCGCGGCCCGCCTAATCCCCAAGGTCCATGTCATATTTATGGAAAGGACACCACAGACACTCATAGTGGTACTTAACAATGGGGGTTCTTTGGAAATTCAGTGCAGCTTGCTGGGTCTTCTTATTCACTCTGTGAATGTTATGGATGAACCAACACATCTGCCCACCATGATATAATGATTTGAAGACAGGCGCAGGAATACGTATTAGGGTTTTTTGAAAAACGACGGGGACGAAGCCCAAAACAAACACGTATATATATATATATATATATATATATAACAAAAGGATGTAACCCAAACAAAAGAGCGAAGTGTAACCTCTAAACAATACACGGGACGAAACCCGTAATAACAAGAACACAATACACGGTACTCACGAGACCAACGGACATGGGACAATAATCGACAAGGACAATGGGGAACAGAGGGCACAAATATACACATACTAATCAGGGGGAATGGGAACCAGGTGTGCGTAATGAGACAAGACAGTCCGGGGTTGGTGGTAATGAACCAGGTCAGTGACGCCTAGAAGGCCGGTGACGTAGACCTCCGGAGCTGGTGAACGGAATGAGCAGCAGTACCGGGGGGATCCATGAAAGTCCTGATATCCCTAACAAGGTAATTGAATGTGTTTAAAGCCAGATTAATTGCTAAATGAATCTCTAATTAGGTCATTAGATCGGGGGGAAGAATGCATACAACAAAATTGCAGAGGTGGATCATTGGGAATCAAACCTATGGAGCTTAAAATCATTCAATGAATTTGATTGAAGGAGGATGTTATTCTGGTGGGTACTGAATCTACAGTTCACTCAGCTTACAATGTGGGTATAACTGTAACAACCCCCCAGTGCACACTGAGGCTGCGCCACAATTGTTTCCATGGAAACGGGTTGCCAGTAAGGGCGGGCGGGGGGCTGTAAGGGTTAATTGGGGGTGGGGTTTATATGAGCCCACCTCAACACAGATGTTAACCCCCCACCCACCCCCCAGGTATCCAGGGCTCGCCTCTCAGAGAGAGGAAGATGTGTGTCACAAAGGACTCACCTACCAGGATTATCAGCCCTCATTTGCAGAAGGCTCTGCGGTTTGAACTGAACTGGAAGGGATTTGATACTGTGAAGTGGTGGTGTGAAGTCATCATACACGATGGGCCCGGCCTGCACATTTACACTTGCACGCAACGCAGACATATAGACCACCAAGTCTTTGATACATTTGATAAATGTGCTATAGCTTAATGTAAATCACCCAAAAGGTTTATGAATGTAACCATATGTAATTAATGTTATCATAATACTGTGAAATCACATCTGTTGTCCTACCTACATGTGAAGGGGCCATGTTTTTTGTTGTTGTTTTTTTACAGTGGTTTCATGCAATGAGCCAACAGTGTCCTCTTGTGTATGGATCATTACAGTACTTCTAAGATTGGATCACAAATTCAACATAGGTGCGTACTGTATTTCACCTCATTAATAGAGACTATGGGGGAATATTCTCTTCCTCTGCTACAATCAATCCAATATACAAAACATTCCTTTTTATTTCTATGGTTTTTATTAACATATTTCACATATCAGCAGGTCAATATTTCAGGACGCGTTAGCTATTGACTTAAGAAGACTTCAGGATATGCTGATAAAATAAATGCAATTTCCATAATTAAAAACGGTTATAGAAAAACATGTTTAAAATGAAATAAAGTGATTGCAGTATATACTGTACCAGTCAAAAGTTTGGACACACATACTCATTCAATCGTTTTTCTTTATTTTTACTATTTTCTACATTGTAGAATAACCGTGAAGACATCAAAACTATGAAATAACACATATGGAATCATGTAGTAACCAAAAAAGTGTTAAATAAATAAAAATATATTTTTGATTTTAGATTCTTCAAAGTAGACACCCTTTGCCTTGATGACAGCTTTGCCCACTCTTGGCATTCTCTCAACCAATTTCACCTGGAATGCTTTTCCAACAGTCTTGAAGGAGTTCCCACATATGCTGAGCACTTGTTGGCTGCCTTTCCTTCACTCTGCAGTCCAACTCATCCCAAACCATCTCAATTGGGTTGATGTTGGGTGATTGTGGAGGCCAGGTCACCTGATGCAGCACTCCATCACTCTCCTTCTTGGTAAAAATAGCCCTTACACCGACTGGAGGTGTGTTTTGGGTCATTGTCCTGTTGAAAAACAAATGATAGTCCCACTAAGCATAAACCAGATGGGATGGCGTATCGTTGCAGAATGATGTGGCCGTGCTGGTTAAGTGTGCCTTGAATTCTAAATAAATCACTGACAGTGTCACCAGCAAAGCACCATCACACCTCCTCCTCCATGCTTCACGGTGGGAACCACACATGCGGAGATCATCCGTTCACCTACTCTGTGTCTCACAAAGACACAGCGGTTGGAACCATAAATCTCAAATTTGGATTTCCACCGGTCTAATGTCCATTGCTCGTGTTTTTGGCCCAAGCAAGTCTCTTCTTCTTATTGGTGTCCTTTAGTAGTGGTGTCTTTGCAGCAATTCTACCATGAAGGCCTGATTCACAGTCTCTGAACAGTTGATGTTGAGATGTGTCTGTTACTTGAACTCTATGAAGCATTTATTTGGGCTGCAATTTCTGAGGCTGGTATCTCTAAGGTAACTCTGGGTCTTCCTTTCCTGTGGCGGTCCTCATGAGAGACAGTTTCTTCATAGCGCTTGATGGTTTTTGCGACTGAACTTGAAGAAACTTTCAAAGTTCTTGAAATTTTACGGATTGACTGACCTTAATGTCTTAAAGTAATGATGGACTGTCGTTTCTCTTTGCTTATTTGAGCTGTTCTTGCCATAATATGGACTTGGTCTTTTACCAAATAGGGTTATCTTCTGTATACCACTCCTACCTTTGGTTGAGAGAATGCCAAGAGTGTGCAAAGCTGTCATCAAGGCAAAGGGTGGCTACTTTTAAGAATCTCAGATATAACATATATTCTGATTTGTTTAACACTTTTTTGGTTACTATATGATTCCATGTCTGTTATTTCATAGTTTTGATGTCTTCACTATTATTCTACAACGTAGAAAATAGTAAAAATAAAGAAAAACCCTGGAATGAGTAGGTGTGTCCAAACCTTTGACTAGTACTGTATAATGATATTTTATAAATACAATTCCCTATGCAAATCTGATCTTAACTAGACTGTTACAAAACTGGCAAATGGTGCCTTGTATACAGTATGTACGTATTTAAATGTATCAATGTTGAAATAATTGAAGAGACCTTGATGTTATTCGAATGAATAATGAGTTGTGGACTTTGATTCACTTTTCTAATAATATGCCTTCATTTCAATTAAACTATCTCTATTGACCTTTTCATTACACTGACTACTAGGCAACAGGCATTGCAGCTTGAAAAACTTAAATCCCAACTTTAATATCTCTTTGAGTTCCCTAAGACTAGCCTAAAAGCGTTCCACTGCTAAGCATCAAAAACATGATAGGTAAAGTTCTCTTGCTTGGGTTTGAGACTGAAGCTGTAGGTTCCAATTCGCTTCCTGTGGTAGAAGAACAAGGAAGAGAGACTCCCGATGAAAAGGAGGAACAGTCCTATTCCCAGTAAGCTGTAGTCCACCAGACGAAGAGTAACAGAGCTCTCTTTGACGGACACTGACAGAAAACATGTCAGAATACATTAACTCCCCAATATGTACAGCTGATCATCATCATATACTGTATATCATGGGCTATATATATATAAGTAGGACATTCTGGATATTTTGGATATTATCAGTAGCCTAGTCATCATGTTGTCACAGTATAGCTTATTTTGATGCAGTAACACTTTGAAGAGCATTTACCTTCGTGTGATCGAAAGAATGGTCCACAGGATGCTTTTGCCGTTCCGATTAGATTGGACAATCTTTCTGTCCGCTCAATACAATCCTAACAAAATAAAATATTATGGAAAGAGAACAGCATTGAACTAGTTAAACTTCTTCTCCTAGTAGAGAGGTTTTCAAAAGCCTCTATGGTAGTCATATCAAAATGGTTGAACACAGTGGCTAAATTAAACCGGAAATACCCAGAGCCCCTGCACCTTGGGTTAAAGGGAGAGCCAGGCAGAGCCAAGCTCCAGCACCTTGGGTTAAAGGGAGAGCCAGGCAGAGCCAAGCTCCAGCACCTTGGGTTAAAGGGAGAGCCAGGCAGAGCCAAGCTCCAGCACCTTGGGTTAAAGGGAGAGCCAGGCAGAGCCAAGCTCCAGCACCTTGGGTTAAAGGGAGAGCCAGGCAGAGCCAAGCTCCAGCACCTTGAGTTAAAGGGAGAGCCAGGCAGAGCCAAGCTCCAGCACCTTGGGTTAAAGGGAGAGCCAGGCAGAGCCAAGCTCCAGCACCTTGGGTTAAAGGGAGAGCCAGGCAGAGCCAAGCTCCAGCACCTTGGGTTAAAGGGAGAGCAAGGCAGAGCCAAGCTCCAGCACCTTGGGTTAAAGGGAGAGCCAGGCAGAGCCAAGCTCCAGCACCTTGGGTTAAAGGGAGAGCCAGGCAGAGCCAAGCTCCAGCACCTTGAGTTAAAGGGAGAGCCAGGCAGAGCCAAGCTCCAGCACCTTGGGTTAAAGGGAGAGCCAGGCAGAGCCAAGCTCCAGCACCTTGGGTTAAAGGGAGAGCAAGGCAGAGCCAAGCTCCAGCACCTTGAGTTAAAGGGAGAGCAAGGCAGAGCCAAGCTACAGCACCTTGGGTTAAAGGGAGAGCCAGGCAGAGCCAAGCTCCAGCACCTTGAGGTAAAGGGAGAGCAAGGCAGAGCCGAGCTCCAGCACCTTACGGGTCCAAAAAATAGTAGGATAAAAAGTAGGATAAAGTATTCATCCTAACCCAAACCCTTAACCCTAGAATAGTAATACATTGTACTCACAGTAGTAACCCTAAACCTAATTATAACAAATTTGTCATAACCCTAGCCTTATATTCAACCCGCCAGGACTTCCCCACCTCCGAATTCCCAATTTAACCTCTGGTTGAACAGTAAATCTAGACATCAAAGTACATACTGTTTACTTGAGTAGTACAGTATGAATAAAGATGGACAAATACTCACAGGCTGGCAGGTGGTCGAGCCACTCTTGATACAGATATGAATCTGGCAGTGCAAGTAGATGACATTGAGGTTGACGTAGGAGAAGATGCGAAGGGACAGGCGAGAATTGCTGGAGTTGCCGTTCTCCAAGACTGTGGTGTATGTGTTTGGGAGGGGACAGCTGATGAGAAAAGAGAGACAGAGAGAGACAGATTACTGGCAAAAAGCTTAGAAAGTACCTAATCACATCTGAACCTTCAGGAAAATGTCCATCCTTGGATGGACAATACATTTAAATTATATTATATTATATTCCATGCCACTGAATGAAAACCTAGCATTTAAGCTAACTATGACAGGGCAACATCAAAATAAATTGTAGAACATACCTGTTTTCTAGGAACAAGTAAATTGTTGGTTCCAAGGGGTTGCTGCTCTGGGTGGCCCAGCACTTGTTGATGACCACTTTGATCTGGTCAACTGTGGAGTTGACGCTGACCTCGACCACAACGTCCTCCTCGGGAGACAGGCTGTAGTTCTGAGGGAGAAGGGACATTCCATTCAGGAGCTGAACCGTCACATGGAAAGTCCCTGAGCCCATGACGACATCTTTGATCATGTCATACCTGTCAACAAAATATGCCTGAATAAGATATTTTGTAACAACATGCTGAATATGTCTAGTTCATAGATACTGCATTAAAATATACTGTTTGTCAATTAGAGAGAAATGTCAAGCCTTTATTGAGTAAAGTTATGTGTATTCAGTTTCAGTCTAGCTGAGCAGTGATTTGTGGGAGTAAAAGTGTGGAGGGGGATGTGACCATAGTGACGGTAGATAAGGTAACCATGGTGCCTGGCAGAGCATACCCTGTGGGGTCATAACCCGCAGAGATGAGGATGCTTTTCCCAAAGGTACACATGATGGGGACCTCCAGCCGTACTGTAGGCACCCTCGTTTCGCTGTCGGGCAGGCTCTGGGGACCCATGGAATTGAACAGAGTCGTCTGAGCAGTGAAATGAGTGCTATTCTGAAATACAAAAGTTAACAGGGGTATGGGAAAGTTATTTTACTTTCTAACAGACCATGAGGACAGTTCAATCTAGTTTGGTCATCCAACACCTGAACCTACAAGAAACAATGTTCACAGGCTGCATGTTTTTTAGTATATTTTTTTGTTGTTGCATGTTTTTACTAAATAAGGACATTTTAACCTGTAAAATCCAGGTCTGTTATGTACTGTACATTATAGAATAACCTTTTATTTACCCAAAACACACCAGAGACTATGCTTATTGTGACACAAGGGGGCAGTAGGTAGCATCCTCTAGCCACTGACTCACAAGTTTACTGACTCACATATAAGAGCTGTGTGTTACACTGGTCCCAAGCCACTGTCAGCTGGACATGGCTGCTGTTCCCTCCGTTCATGCCACACTCCTGTCTCCCCAGGTAGAGGGAAGAGTCCCCAATGTGCCTCGCCCCCAGGAAGTCCCTTACAACTGTCACTGTGATATAGCTGGCCCTGCACTCCACAGAGATGCCCCTCGTATCAGAAACCAGAATAGCCGGAGATGTAGGAGTCATAGGCTGCAGACTCGTTGTGATGAGACCGCTGGTCACATTGGTGGTCATTGCTGTAGGAACATCAGTGGTGGTTTTGGTTGGAACTGGGGTCATGGTTGTCAGTGGGATTGGAGTAGCGGTTGAAACAGTGTTGTTGATTCTAACGGCATTGTTGGTTGTAACTGGTGTGTTGATTGTAGTTGTAGTTTTATTGTTGGATGTGATTGAGGTTGTATTGTAGGTTGTAGTGGTTGAAACTGTATTGTCGGTTGTAACCAGAGAGTTGGTTGTGGTTGTGGTTGTAGCTGGAGCTGGAGCTGTGGTCGTCTGGACAGGTGTTGTGATGGGCATTGTAGGTGTGGTTGTGGTCAAATGTGCTGCAATGCAAAAACATGAAAATTACAGGTTGAACTGTAGTGAACTGATTAGGCAATGAAGCCTGAAGTACTCTAGTATCTCCAAATACATATGAATGAAGACTATCAAACTAAAGTGAAAGAAAGGATTCTCTATTGTCTACCTGAACAGGCCCGTCCCGGCCTGGAGGGGTTGGAGTCAGTGAATCCGTCCAGACAGAGACAGCTGTAGGAGCCCCAGTTGTTACTGCACTGGGCCCATGGGGAGCAGTCCATGTCCCCTGTACTGCACTCATCAACATCTGTTCGAGACAAAAACGAAAATAAATCTGGCATTGAAAATCAGGTTAACAGTTTGTGCAGATTGGTATCACAAAATGTGCCCTCTATCTAATGCTCACAGAGAGTTATCTTCTTTCATATTTAACCTACAGTATATTTAATCAGGAAGTCCCATTGATACAAATAATAGTTTTCAAGAAGGCCAATTGGAGACCTGGCACATTATCTTGTGCACATTCCTTTTATCAAAATCAAAGTATTCTTACAACTGTAAAAGGTTAAGACAGCATTACCATCTATACTGGTGTTGTTGCTGTCAACAGTGTATCTGGAGCTGTTCTGTAGGGCCTGTACCAGAGCAGAGGACACCTTCAAGATGTCCTGGGACTGACTGGGTGTGAAGATGATGGTGAAGTTCACTACTACACTACCAGGGGTCAGGCCTGTGATCTGAACCCTCACATCTCCTGAGTTCACCAGGGCCAGGATATCAGGAGGGAGAGACTGGAGGATCTGTGGGACAGTGTTGTTTGATAGAAACTACAACATTACAACACGTATGAACTATAACTACAACATGTAGGAACTACAAAACATGTGTAGGTGTCTTTATTAGGCTTTTCTTTTACATCATTAATTTATTCCATGTTTTCACTATAAGTGAGGACAATGACAACATTCAAACATTCAAAAAACATTTATAATTTAGCCTTGTACCTCTTCCACAATACCACGACTGAGATTCTGATACTCCTGGCTAGTGGGGTACAGCAGGGCATCAGTGAACTGCACGTTGGTCAGGCGAACTGTTGCTCGAAGTGTCTGTGCAGCTGTGAATGGGATACACTCATCCAGTCAATGCAATGCAGTAATTAGAAAAGCAGTGGTGTAAAGTACTTAAGTAAAAATACTTTAAAGTACTACATAAATAGTTTTTGGGGGTATCTGTCCTTTACTTTACTATTACCATTTTTACTTTTACTTTTACTTCACTACATTCCTAAAGAAAATAATAAAATAATAGTACTTCTTACTGACACCCAAAAGTACTCGTTACATTTTGAATGCTTAGCAGGACAGGAAAATGGTCCAATTCACACACTTATCAAGAGAACATGGCGGACTCACTAAACACAAATGCTTCATTTGTAAAGGATGTCTGAGTGTTGGAGTGTGCCCCTGGCTATCCGTAAAAAAATAACAATAAAATATGCTGCCGTCTTGCTTATTATAAGGAATTTGAAATAATTTATACTTTTACTTTTGATACTTAAGTATATTTTAGCAATTACATGTACTTTTGAAACTTAAGTATATTTAAAACCAAATACTTTTAGACTCTTACTCAAGTAGTATTTTACTGGGGGACTTTCACATTTACTTGAGTCATTTTCTATTAAGGTATCTTTACTTTTACTCAAGTATGACAATTGGGTACTTTTTCCACCACTGTAGAAAACTTTAATATCTGCTATAGGAGTCAGCATAACATGAAAGTGTTGTGGTAAGTACAACCAAGTCATATAGCTGTGTCAGTGTGTAATGAATAAAGTACACTGCATCAGTTAGGAGAACACAACCCTCATAACAATTAAAGTATGCACACATTGCAGAAAGTTGATCTATCGAAAATCCTGCACATGGTACTAACCAGTCTTAACCAGCAGCAGCAGGCTGGCCCCCTGGCTCCCACAGGCACAGGGAGTGACAGTGACGTTGTAGAGAACCCCAGGCTGCAGCCCTGTCACCTCCAAGACTGACAGCTCTGTCTCCCAGCGTCCCTTGACCTCTGACCCCTCCCTCAACACCACCAGGAAGCTGAGCCCGCTCTGGGATTGGCCAGTCCAGGACAGGCAGAAAGAGAAGCCATTAATGTTGGAGGCCTGCAAGTTGGTGGTGGGGGTTGGGTCTGGGGGAGAGGGGAGAAGGGAGAAGGGAATCAGTAGTCAATCTCACCTTCTATGAAATATCACAGCATCTGAGCTGTTTTGAAATTAGTGATTTTGTTAAGTGTTCCATTTCTTAAAACAATTAGATTAAAGTGGAGCACTTAGGAAAATATTATCCAAACCGCCTCAGGGCTCCTAGAAACAGCAGGGGAGTCATTGGGGGAAACTGATATTGAAGAAAAAATAAGTCCACATGCTTAAAATTGGCACTGTTATACACTGTATAAGCAGAGAGTTATTCATTTACATACGGCATGTGGATGGTGATAGTGAGGACACACTTAGGTACATGTCCTCCACAGTAGGTCCCACGCTGGTTTGGGGCATAGAGGTGGAGAGGGGCAGGGTAAGAGTGTTGGTGTTAGTGGTATGCTGCAATGAAATGGGACTACTCCAGGATGTGAGACCTGTACTGGTCTCAGACCTGTTGGAACTGGCTGTAGCTAGGTCATGTGTGGTAGCAGGTATTTGGGTGGAGCTCAGCATCATGCCCCTGTCTGTGGTTGTAGCTACAGCTGTTGGGTTATCAGTAAAGCTGGAGACCCAGGACTGATAGCTGCTGTTGGGTGGCAGCTCTGTTGCATTGGCCCACCAGAACATATGAGTGGCATTACTGGGCATGGCTGAGGTCACAAGGTCAGCAGCTGTAAGGAGAACAAATAGGTTGAGAGTGTGAGTTACAAACATTTTAATTTTGACATTAATTTAATATAACCCAGAGTTAGTGTACACCCCTCCCTGTTCTTACCTTGGCAGTGTTCCCCTGTGTTGTTGGAGTTCAGATCAGTGAATCCAGGATGGCAGGTGCAGCTGTAGGAGCCCTCTGTGTTGGCACAGTCTGCCTGACGTGAGCAGCTGCTGAGAGTGGCATGGGTACACTCATCTATATCTGAAAGGACAGCAACATAATGTGTTTTATATGTAGACACTATATATACCTACAGGATATATAATATATGCCCTTGAATGAATGTGTGTGTGTGTGTGTGTGTGTGTGTGTGTGTGTGTGCATGATTGCATGCATGCATGTGTGTGTTCATGTGTGTGAGTATGCGTGCTTGTGAGCACATCTGTGTGTATTATTGTGAGTGTATGATTGTGTGTTTGCACTGGTGTGGTGTGTGTTTTTGTGAGTGTGTCAATTACTAAAAAAAAAAAAATCCAGAGGAAACGTGACAGATGAGTGTGAAGAGGAAATGGAAGCAGAGTGGGACAACGTGGTGTTACTGAGTCAGCACAGTGTTCTCAGCAACATCATAGCCACCATAAAACCCAACAAAGTTGACAGATAGATGTTACCAGAGATAATGTACAGTACCAGTCAAAAGTTTGGACACACCTACTCATTCAAGGGTTTTTCTTTATTTACCACATTGTAGAATAATAGTGAAGACATCAAAACTATGAAATAACACATATGGAATCATGTAGTAACCAAAAAAGTGTTAAACAAATCAAAATGTATTTTATATTTGAGATTCTTCAACTAGCCACCCTTTGCCTTGATGACAGCTTTGCACACGCTTTGCATTCTCTCAACCAGCTTCACCTGGAATGCTTTTCCAACAGTCTTGAAGGAGTTCCCACATATGCTGAGCACTTGTTGGCTGCTTTTCCTTCACTCTGCTGTCCGACTCATCCCAAACCATCTCAGTTGAATGGATGTCAGGGGATTGTGGAGGCCAGGTCATCTGATGCAGCACTCCATCACTCTCCTTCTTGGTAAAATAGCCCTTACACAGCCTATAGGTGTGTTGGGTCATTGTCCTGTTGGAAATTCCATGATAGTCCCACTAAGCCCAAACCAGATGGGATGGTGTATCGCTGCAGAATGCTGTGGTAGCCATGCTGGTTAAATTACAGACAGTGTCACCAGCAAAGCACCCCCACACCATAACACCTCCTCCTCCATGCTTTACAGCGGCAACTACACATGCTGAGATCATCCGTTCACCCACACTGCGTCTCACAAAGACACAGCAGTTAGTACCAAAAATCTCAAATTTGGACCCCAGATCAAAGGACAAATTTCCACCAGTCTAATGTTCATTGCTCATGTTTCTTGGCCCAAGCAGGTCTCTTCTTCTTATTGGTGCCCTTTAGTAGTGGTTTCTTTGCAGCAATTCGACCATGAAGGCCTGATTCACACAGTCCCCTCTGAACAGTTGATGTTGATGTGTATGTGACTTGAACTCTGTGAATAATTTATTTGGGCTGCAATTTCTGAGGCTGGTACCTCTAATGAACTTATCCTCTGCAGCAGAGGTAACTCTGGGTCTTCCATTCCTGTGGTGGTCCTCATGAGAGCCAGTTTCATCATAGCGTTTGATGGTTTTTGCGACTGCACTTGAAGAAACTTTCAAAGTTCTTGAAATTTTGACTGACCTTCATATCTTAAAGTAATGATGGGACTGTCATTTCTCTTTGCTTATTTGAGCTGTTCTTGCCATGATATGGACTTGGTTTTTTTACCGAATAGGGCTACCTTCTGTATATATTTTGATTTGTTTCACACTTCTTTGGTTACTACATGATTCCATATGTGTTATTTCATAGTTTTGATGTCTTCACTATTATTCTACAATGTAAAAAATAGTAAAAATAAAGAAAAACCCTTGAATGAGTATGTGTCCAAACTTTTGACTGGTAGTGTATATGGCGCTCACTTACAGTATCTAGAGATGTATTTGGCCCTGGGTGTTACACCCCCACAAAAGCCTGTGTATTTACACCCCACAGTGAAGTACAGTATCCTCTTACCTTCAACAGACACCGAGGTGACTTCTTCAATGTGTTTGAGAAGAAGTTGCAGCTTTGCGGTAGTGTTGGACAAGGACAGAGTTTCAAGGGAACCAATCAGCATAGATGAAGCGGTTCTGAATGGCCCTATAGGCCAGGAGCTGATGTAGTATACAGAGACGTCAGAGGAGTCCAGGGCTCCAGTCACCTGTAAGCCAATACAGAATGGGCAAGGCCTGTACTAGGTACACACAGTGAGAAATATACAGTGGCTTGCGAAAGTATTCACCCCCCTTGACATTTGACCTATTTTGTTGCCTTATAACCTGGAATTAAAATGGATTTTTTGGAGGTTTGTATTATTTGATTTACACAACACTTTGAAGATGCAAAATAAACGGAAAACGGAAAACTTGAGTGTGCATAACTATTCACCCCCCCAAAGTCAATACTTTGTAGAGACACCTTTTGCAGCAATCGCAGCTGCAAGTCTCTTGGGGTATGTCTTTATAAGCTTGGCACGTGTAGCCACTGGGATTTTTGCCCATTCTTCAAAGCAAAACTGCTCCAGCTCCTTCAAGTTGGATGGGTTCCGCTGGTGTACAGCAATCTTTAAGTCATACCACAGATTCTCAATTGGATTTAGGTCTGGGCTTTGACTAGGCCATTCCAAGACATTAAATGTTTCCCCTTAAACCACTCGAGTGTTGCTTTAGCAGTATGCTTAGGGTCATTGTCCTGCTGGAAGTTGAACCTCCGTCCCAGTCTCAAATCTCTGGAAGACTGAAACAGGTTTCCCTCAAGAATTTCCCTGTATTTAGCGCCATCCATCATTCCTTCAATTCTGATCAGTTTCCCAGTCCCTGCCGATGAAAAACATCCCCACAGCATGATGCTGCCACCACCATGCTTCACTGTGGGGGTGGTGTTCTCGGGGTGATGAGAGGTGTTGGGTTTGCGCCAGACATAGCGTTTTCCTTGATGGCCAAAAAGATCAATTTTCGTCTCATCTGACCAGAGTACCTTCTTCCATTTGTTTGGGGAGTCTCCCACATGCCTTTTGGCGAACACCAAACGTGTTTGCTTTTTTTCTGGCCACTCTTCTGTAAAGCCCAGCTCTGTGGAGTGTACGGCTTAAAGTGGTCCTATGGACAGATACTCCAATTTCCGCTGTGGAGCTTTGCAGCTCCTTCAGGGTTATCTTTTGTCTCTTTGTTGCCTCTCTGATTAATGCCCTCCTTGCCTGGTCCGTGAGTTTTGGTGGGCGGCCCTCTCTTGGCAGGTTTGTTGTGGTGCCATATTCTTTCAATTTTTTTATAATGGATTTAATGGTGCTCCGTGGGATGTTCAAAGTTTCTGATATTTTTTTATAACCCAACCCTGATCTGTACTTCTCCACAACTTTGTCCCTGACCTGTTTGGAGAGCTCCTTGGTCTTGCTTGGTGGTGCCCCTTGCTTAGTGATGTTGCAGACTCTGGTGCCTTTCAGAACAGGTGGATATATACTGAGATCATGTGACACTTAGATTGCACACAGGTGGACTTTATTTAACTAATTATGTGACTTCTGAAGGTAATTGGTTGCACCAGATCTTATTTAGGGGCTTCATAGCAAAGGGGGTGAATACATATGCACGCACCACTTTTCCGTTATTTATTTTTTTGAATTTTTTGAAACAAGTTATGTTTTTCATTTCACTTCACCAATTTGGACTATTTTGTGTATGTCCATTACATGAAATCCAAATAAAGATCCATTGAAATTACAGATTGTAATGCAACAAAATAGGAAAAATGCCAAGGAGGATGAATACTTTTGCAAGGCACTGTATATAACGGACCATCATTGAGAAGAACGTAGGGAGAGATACAGTAGCCTACCACAGAGTGCAACAGCCTTGTGTGGTTCAGGATTCCCCCGTCCATGGATATCAGCTGCTGGTAATCTGTCTTCACGGTCACAGTGACGTTGAAGCAACAGCCTCTATTGCCTGAGTGAAATAATAATGTATAACGGTTTGCAATATGATTTTCTGTGTCGTGATGTTTACACAATGGTAGTTATTATGCAACTTAAACATATATCTTGAATCACTTTAACAATAAAGTTTATCTGGGGTCTGTACTCACCTGTATGTTGAGGGTCAGTGCAAAAAGATAGGCCCTCTCTCTGGCAGCACTTTTGCCACCCTGGGCAGTCTGAGTCCCATTCACACCCTGTATTCCTGGGGGCCTCCACTACACCCTCAGGGCAGGAGCCTGGTTTGGCAGTGAACTCTCCACTTCTGTTCATAGCTTAATCAATGAGAGAGAGAGAAATAGAGAGAGAGTATCATATTAAATGTTTACAAAGTAAATAGGAAACTACAAACTGTATTCTTGGTTGACAGCCCCATCTAGTGATCTTTGTTAGATACTTCATAAAAAGGGGTCTCCGTGACTACAGGTCCTGATTGTTGTAGGGGCTTGGGTGCTGATGTAAATTGTGAAAATGAGAAAACTGTTAAATATGTTCTTTACACATAGATACTTCTGTGTGCTCCTAAATATACTTTGTTTTCATGATGAACAAGTCCTAAAATATAAGCTAGAATACTCACGTAAAGCACAGTAGCTGCCCACTTGTTCATAGCCCTCACAGCACCTCATAACCTCCTCGGTGACATTCATGTACTCTGTTCGATAGGCCGTTTTGTAAAGAGTGACCGCACACGTCTTCCAGGGTAGCCAGCTGCCACAGGACCTCCTGTCCCTGTAGGAGGTCTTATAGAACCACACTTTACTCACCACCCTGCTCTCATGTCCAGTACACAGGTGGTAGCTGGACATAGACAGGACATATCCTGAAATAAAGAAATAGTTACGTTATATATCTAATGGAGACAATGCTGTTTTTTATGTTTGCAGAATGTAAGACAAATGGGCAGGGAATTCCAAACAACAGTTACGAATACATAATATTGGAAAATAAGTATTTGCAGATCAATGTAGCATAAATAACAGGAAATATGAACACGAACACATAACTAAAGGTTTTAATTTCCACAACAGCCAGCATTCATATAGGACCAAGGAGTGCCCACAATATCAACACACTTACAGTATAAGACATTTTAACATTTGCATAAGGCACCTGGTTTTTAAAAACGGAATCAAAACTGATTAGCAGATATAGGCCACCTGTCTCAACCAGTACAAAGAAAACATATTAACAAAGATATCATGGAACACGGTAATAAACAGTAATGCATACACATTATCATTATTATTGATTGTGTCATAACTTATTGTCCTACCTTTAAACAAAGTGTTGTGTCCCCTACAGAGTTCCAGAAGAGCCACGGCCAGACTGAGAGAGAACATCCAACTCATCTTGAACAAATGAAATACGACACGTATTCAAGGACCATGCTGCACTACCATCTTCAGAGCTGAGCTTTTGGTAACTGTTCTGTGTTTCTTTTCCCTCATCATCCACCCCCCCTGATATCCTCCTCCCTTGCTCCCACAGTCCCCAGTGTAACATACTGCATGGCAATATCTAGATGGAGAGTGAATTCAGCCACATGGAGAGGGTGTATTCATTCACATTTGGTTGAAGTGACATTTCTGCAATCAAATTGATCCCTTTGTATATTCCTATGTTCCTGTATGTTTCCTGTATTTAAAATTACTGTTCATTCCTAACTGTTGAGTGTGTGCTTATCATCCCAAGCAGTTATAATAAGAGCCTTCAATGTGTGGCCAGGAAAACCATAAGGCTTTAAACATACACTACATCACCAAAAGTATGTGGACACCTGCTTGTCGAACATCTCATTCCAAAATCATGGGCATTAATATAGAGTTGGTCCCCCCTTTGCTGCTATAACAGCCTCCACTCTTCTGGGAAGGCTTTCCACTAGATGTTGGAACATTGCTGCAGGGACTTGTTTCCATTCAGCCACAAGAGCATTAGTGAGGTCGGGCACTGATGTTGGGCGATTAGGCCTGGCTCAAAGTTGGCGTTCCAATTCATCCCAAAGGTGTTCGATGGCTTTGAGGTCAGGGACCTGTGCAGGCCAGTCAAGTTCTTCCACACTGATCTCGACAAACCATTTCTGTATGGACCTCGCTTTGTGCACGTTGGCATTGTCATGCTGAAACAGCAAAAGGCCTTCCCCAAACTGTTGCCACAAAGTTGGAAGCACAGAATAATCTAGTATGCTGTAGCGTTAAGATTTCCCTCCACTGGAAGTAAGGGGCCTAGCCCGAACCATGAAAAACAGCCCCAGACCATTATTCCTCCTCCACCAAACTTTACAGTTGGCACTATGCATTCGGGCAGGAAGCGTTCTCCTGGCATCCGCCAACCCCAAATTCGTACATCGGACTGCCAGATGGTGAAGCGTGATTCATCACTCCAGATAATGTGTTTCCACTGCTCCAGAGTCCAGTGGTGGCGAGCTTTACATCACTCCAGCCGACGCTTGGCATTGCGCATGGTGATCTTAGGCTTGTGTGCGGCTGCTCGGCCACGGAAACCCATTTTATGAAGCTCCTGACGAACAGTTCATGTGCTGACGTAGCTTCCAGAGGCAGCTTGGAACTTGACAGTGAGTGTTGCAACCGAGGACAGACTATGTTTACGCGCTACACACTTCAGCACTCGGCAGTCCATTCTGTGAGCTTGTGAGGCCTATCGACTTTGCGGCTGAGCCGTTGTTGCTCCTAGACAATTCCGCTTCACAATAACAGCACTTACAGTTGACCGGGGCAGCTCTAGTAGGGCAGAAATTTGACGAACTGACTTGTTGGAAAGGTGGCATCCTACGACGGTGCCATGTTGAAAGTTACTGAACTCCTCAGTAAGGCCATTTTACTGCCAATGTTTGTCTAAGGAGATTGCATGGCTGTGTGCTCAATTTTATACACCTGTCAGCAACACGTGTGGCTGAAATAGCCGAATCTACTCATTTGAAGGGGTGTCCACATACTTTTCTATATATAGTGTATGTTATGACCTGCCATGGCACTGTCAATGCAAGCAAACAACATGTTTGTGATGCTAGAGGGGAAGAGATGGTGGCTATGAGAAGACAGCAGCAGTGACTGTCCCAGGTGACTTGGTTTCCACTCAAGTAACCATGGCAGTGTTTGCTCTCATCTCCTCACCCACAGCCTCCAGCAGGCAGGCAGGAGAATCAGGAGAGGTGATATAAAAATGCAGTCACTAAAATACTGTGCTACCAGTGGTGGAAATGTACTCAATTGTCATACTTGAGTAAAAGTAAAGATACCTGAATAGAAAATGACTCAAGTAAAAGTGAAAGTCACCCAGTAAAATACTACTTGAGTAAAAGTCTAAAAGTATTTGGTTTTAAATATACTTAAGTATCAAAAGTAAATGGAATTGCTAAAATGTACTTAAGTATCAAAAGTAAAAGTATAAATCATTTCAAATTCCATATATTAAGCAAACCAGACGGCACCATAAAAAAAATAAAAAATTGACGGATAGCCAGGTGCACACTCCAACATTCAGACATAATTTACAAACTAAGCATTTGTGTTTAGTGAGTCCGCCAGATCAGAGGCTGTAGGGATGACCAGGGGTGTTCTCTTGATAAGTGTGTGAATTTGACCATTTTCCTGTCAAAATGTAACGAGTACTTTTGGGTGTCAGGGAAAATGTATGGAGTAAAAAGTACATTATTTTCTTTAGGAATGTAGTGAAGTAAAAGTTGGCAAAAATATAAATAGTAAAGTAAAGTCCAGATACCCCAAAAAACGACTTAAGTAGTACTTTAAAGTATTTTTACTTAAGTACTTTACACCACTGTGTGCTACCTAGCATTTCACTAGTCTTGCCTATGGCAACAGACTATTCATGAAATATGAATATCTTCTGCTGGTTGTAATGCTAACTAAGCTCTCTAGGAAAATTAGTTACTTTTCTAGAAATTGTGTCACTTTTCCCCCAAAGACCGTAATAAAAAATATATTTTCCACCTATTCATAAAAATATCTCTATATTCTCTGGAATTTAAAAGGTTCAATCATCACAACACATTCATTACCGTCCTTCCACACAAGGCTTGGGGATGTTATACATCTTGTAATTCTAATGTGTTGTGAAAATGAACTATTAAACATATGAAGCAATTAAACCTAGCATCAGTAATAGGACTGAATCAGTGATGATATTCTGAGGCACTGGGGCATATCACTGCATGAAAAGGCACATTTATAGGTCGAACACTCCAGTGCACAAGTCCGAAAAGGTCGAGTTTCTGGAAATTTGCGGGGCACATGTCCAGCAGTGTTTGGCCCTGCACACGTCCTGTAAATCTCAGATAACGGACCACTTTTGTGCGCAGACATGCACGGACGTGTATACAGTATGTCCGGAAATGGTTCAGTAAAGCCCCAGAAACTACCACACACGTCCACCCACTTACCAGGATACATCTTGAAATTCCAGTGCACGCCTTTGACGTCAGTTGCAATACATCTCCTTCCACGTCCGCCCACGTCTCTCCCATAAATGTCAGTAAATGGTTGTGCACTTGCTCAAGGTTGCACATACTTATTCGCCCCACTGAATGCTAATGCTAGTCATTGCTAGCTTGCCTTAGTGGCTGTCATTGGTATAATAAAAACATTATTAAATGAATGACTTAGTGAATTAGGAATGAATTAATGAATAAATGACTGAATTATTTGTATTATTATTAATATCACAAATCAAGGTTTCTACACCTTTTCAGAAATAAATATTCAAGCACCACTATCAAGGTTTTTCCAGCACCTCACGACATCGCTATACTAAAACAACTCTTAGTTCCTTGAATAAAACTCACAAATACACTTCTTGAAGGATGACAATTAATTGCATTAGAGCAGGAGAAAGTGGGTAATAGCATCTGCATTTCGGGAAAGTATTCAGACCCCTTGACTTTTCTCACATTTTCTTACATTACAGCCTTATTCTAAAATGGATTAAATTGTTTTTCCCCCTAATCAATCTACACAGAATACCCCCAAATGACAAAACAAAAAAGTTTTTTTAGATTTTTTTGCACATTTATAAAAAATGAAATATCACATATACATAAGTTTTCAGACACTTTACTCAGTACTTTGTTGAAGCACCTTTGTCAGCAATTACAGCCTCGAGTCTTCTTGGGTATGACGCTACTAGCTTGGCACACCTGTATTTGGGGAGTTTCTCCCATTGTTCTCTGCAGAGCCTCTCAAGCTCTGTCAGGTTGGATGGGGAGTGTCGCTTTACAGCTATTTTCAGGTCTCTCCAGAGATGTTAGATTGAGTTCAAGTCCGGGCTCTGGCTGGGCCACTCAAGGACATTAAGAGACTTGTCCTGAAGCTACTCCTGTGTTGTCTTGACTGTGTGCTTAGGGTCATTGTCCGGTTGGAAGGTGAACCTTCACCCCAGTCTGAGATCCTGAGCGCTCTGGAGCAGGTTTTCATCAAGGATCTCTCTGTACTTGCTCCGGTCATCTTTCCCTCGACCCTGACTAATCTCCCAGTACCTGCCGCTGAAGAATATCCTCATAGCATGATGCTGCCACCACCATGCTTCACAATAGGGATGGTGCCAGGTTTCCTCCAGATGTGACGCTTGGCATTCAAGCCAAAGAGTTCAATCATGGTTTCATCAGACCAGAGAATCTTGTTTCTCATGGTCAGAGTCCTTTAGGTTCCTTTTGGCAAACTCCAAGTGGGCTGTCATGTGCCTTTTACTGAGGAGTGGCTTCAGTCTGGCCACTCTAACATAAAGGCCTGATTGGTGGAGTGCTGCAGAGATGGTTATCCTTCTGGAAGGTAATCCCATCTCCACAGAGGAACTCTGGAGCTCTGTCATAGTGACCATTGGGTTCTTGGTCACCTCCCTGACCAAGGCCCTTCTCCCCCGATTGCTCAGTTTGGCCAGGCGGCCAGCTCTAGGAAGAGTCTTGGTGGTTCCAAACTTCTTCCACTTAAGAATGATGGAGGCCACTGTGTTCTTGGGGACCTTCAATGCTGCAGAAATGTTTTGGTACCCTTCCCCAGATCTGTGCCTTGACACAATCCTGTCTCGAAGCTCTACGGACAATTCCTTCGACCTCATGGCTTGGTTTTTGCTCTGACATGCACTGTCAACTGTGGGACCTTATATAGACAGGTGTGTGCCTTTACAAATCATGTCCAATCAATTGAATTTACCACAGGTCAAGTTGTAGAAACATCTCAAGGATGATCAACAGGATGCACCTGAGCTCAATTTCGAGTCTCATAGCAAAGCGTCTGAATATTTATGTAAATAAGGTATTTCTCTTTTTTATTTGTAAGAAATTTGCAAAAATGTCTAAAAACCTGTTTTCGCTTTGTCATTATGGGGTATTTTGTGTAGATTGATGAGGAAAACATTTAATTCAATCCATTTTAGAGTAAGGCTGTAACGTAACAAAATGTGGAAAAAGGGAAGAGGTCTGAATACTTTCCGAATGCACTGTAGGTTGCCTTGATGAAAACTCCCCAGACATGATCCGTGTGCTGTAGCTCGTCAAGTAGCTCTGGTCCCTCTCCAAGCGGCTCTGTAGTTCTTGATTAAGGGCAGTGAGCACCTCACTCCGCAAGTAGGGGGGGCTTGACGAACCACACTGGTTTTCTGTTTTGCAGGCCATCCTCCTCATCAGGTTCACATTAACTCTTCTCCAAATGTCTCTCTCATCCTCTACAAGCACTCTCGACCATGCATCTAGAACCAATAGAACACAGTAAACAAATGCATCAGTCTCAAGTCATGCATATTCATATAATTCATATAAAATCTAAATGTTACCCCACCAACCCCAAATTGAGAGTTAGTGAAGGGGAATTCCAACCTTTGACATATATCACTTAGCTTCATTGTAGTTCCCTCACACAGTTTTTGATATCTTTTGAAATTAACTGAGATTATTGGTATTATTGGACTATTGTGATAACAATAATTGAATTTCATCCACTTGGTTGAAAGGGGCTCCACATGCCTTTGGCTACATGCACTCAATGTATCACCCACAAACACCTACCCAAAGGTAATTATAATCAAACAAGATATACGTTTTGCATGTGATACTGTCAGTGCACAGAGCTACTGGCATGTGGACTAGAGTAGAAACAGAATCTTTGCCAAAACATGTACCAAGCTCATGATTACTGTTATTTTCAGTAAAACAGTCAATACAGTTCTGATACAGAGGCAATTAGTGTTCCAACAAAGTACATCAATCGGTGATGAATGGTACTACGGGAGCTATAGCAGCCACTCTAGACCACGTGGGTGGAATTCAATGTCTGTTTTCATTCTACTTTTCTAGACTCAACTATATAACTTGAAACATGTAATAGGACCATATATGCACTTTGTATTCCAAGGACCAGGAGTAATACAATAGTAATAAACCTAGTGTTACACAGAAACTACTTTTGCAAAAACTACTTATTTGCATGGTTCTCCAAGATTGTGTCCCCTATGTTCTCAGGTAAACCTGAGAGATACGCCTGCCTCACAGTCTCGTAATATAGGTGGCACAAGAACCTGAAATGGATATAAGCACAAGGTTAATTTGATGTTGTTTTGGTGGCCAGCTCACCGCTGCAGAGCCTTGCTATTGTTTGTAAAAAGAGCATTAAGCATACCTTTTAAAGTATCACTCTTTTTCAGTGTTTGAATTAACAAAGAAAATTGAGTGCAACCTTAACATCCAGGGACGTGTTTGTGCTCTTTGACATCGCACAGACACGTTGTACTGGGAAGTAAATCTGTGTCAGAGAGAATGCAAACGTGTTACATTTGTGTAAATGTTACAACTCAACTCAACAATCTCTAGAATAATCTACTTCACTAGCTAATTGCCTTTGCAAAAATGTATGTCTTACTAGGTGTGCATGTATGACACACCAGGGTTGAACCTGGTTAGTTAGCTAGCTAGTTACCTAGCTAGTGTTAGCTAGTTTATCACTAAAGATGGTGGTGTGCAAAATCACTAAATATATACCCATGCATTGTATGGACAACAACAGTTTGTAGAACAGTACAAACAAATTATATAATATAATAATATAATATGCCATTTAGCAGACACTTTTATCCAAAGCGACTTACAGTCATGTGTGCATACATTTTTACGTATGGGTGGTCCCGGGGATCGAACCCACTACCCTGGCGTTACAAGTGCCATGCTCTACCAATTGAGCTATAGAAGAGGCCTGTGTATTAAATGTAACTAGCCTAGCGCTGAGCTAGCTAATGTTAGTGGTTAGCATGCAACCGTTAGATACAAATTTCATACAAAATAAACTTCTAACATACGTCATTAGTGTTGTTCATTTGTACAAACGTTCCAACAGACATAAAAAAATCATCTGAGACGCCATCTTGTTCTCAGTGACTTATATATAAAGTTATATTTCCAGAAACGTACTAATGCATAATTGGGAAATACTATCCCAGAAATTCCTGTATCACGCAAGTATTCTGGGATGCGCGGATGTCTACAGTAGTTTGCACACTAGTATTGGGAAATTCCCACCCACAACCATGCAACTCAAATTTCACAGGAATATAGCAGATCCAATTTCACCCAGAAACTCTGCTTTTCATGCAGGCTGTTCTGGAGGGATGGAGGGAGGGGGGTGCTCTCAGAGAAGAGGGGTGGCTCAACCTGAGTGACACAACAACCATTAACAGGTGTCATCACATCACTTAGTTCCACAGATTATAGGATTGGCTCTAAATGCAGAACCACAATCACAGTGTCCCACCCTCAGTTTCAGCTTGTTGTATCCAGTTTATTTAAATACCATGAAGTCTTCGCATATACACACAGATTGTACATACATGTAAGAGGGAGACCCATGGGGCGGCGCGCACAATTGGCCCAGCGTCGTCCAGGGTAGGGGAGGGAATGGCCGGCAGGGGATGTAGCTCAGTTGGTAGAGCATGGCGTTTGCAACGCCAGGGTTGTGGGTTCGATAAAATAATGTATGCACTAACTGTAAGTCGCTCTGGATAAGAGCGTCTGCTAAATGACTAAAATGTAAAATGTAATGAGGCAATAGCAGTGCCGCATCTTCCTTGGATCATCCGCTTGTGAGGTACGGTACTACATGAAGACTTTCCAGGATGTGGCAGGATAAACAGAGCAACAGGCGTCCTCTGGGTATCTGTAATGAGAGAGAGCAGAGGTGCCATAATGAAATTTTTAATCACATCTCTTTAATTAGTTTCAGTGGGACAGTGGATCTGGTTACAGAGAAACGCATTCATCCACCAATGTCAAATGCAGATCTTACCCCGTGCTTTGATTGTCGTCATTAGATACAACAACAAAAATAACATTAACAATAATAATAGCAAAATACATTCTGCATTTAATTCTGTAATTCCACATAATTTAGCAGTATCCATCTATGGTTTTAAAGAACAGAATATTGATACTTTGCAACTGAGACAGCAATGTTGACCTGACAGCAATATGATTGCTTTTTTATTGAATGTGAATTGGTATTGTTTCCCAAGGGTATGTTTACATATCAAAGAACGAAAATATGACCTGTCACTTTAAAATGGTTTAATCTGCCTGTCATATCCTACCCTCCCGCCTACATGGTATAAAGCAGCCTATCAGCTCACAGCGCACGTGACGAGCGTTCTATGTGATGACCTCATCCCTGGAGTGGGATGACGTCAAATTCAAGATGGATGGAATCACGACTACCACACACTCACCAGAATTCTGATATAAAGTCTTTAGTGTGCTCCGTGGAAACAGAACGAATGCATAGGGGTAAGTTTAGAAAGCCACAAAACTACTTTGGTTGAGATTATCTGGCGCTAGTGCTTTACATTGGACTCTTGTTTGGAGAAAAGCTTCTTTTTTTCCTGACGTAACTCGGAGGTGGTTTCTTCGTCTTTTCTAAACCCCACGAGCAACTGCTCTGTGTCTGCTCCTGTAGATGCTGCGTCTGCGCTTTAACTAACCAGGGAGAAAATACAGTAGTGGGTGTGTGCGCACACGCAGTGACCACACACTCGTTTCTCGAGCACTGTGTTTTTATTCTGTTTCTTTGACATTTCTCTTTCGGAAACATTAACACAAGGTGATTACGTGATTTCACCGCCAGCAACGGTAACAAACAGACCATGCACCGCGTCATTGTTTCAAATTTAATTAACCTATTTAGTCCATAACGGGGAGAATACTTGCCAGACTTCTAAAACCAGTTTCTGCTGAATTTGTGTCTTCAGGAATTTTAGCCACGTCTCGCGGATTATCTAATACTTGTTCTCCTGACTTCTCCTCAGACACATTGAATGGGGCGCAGCGTTCAAAACTTTTCTGAAATGGAATGTACTAGACATGTTTGTGTAATCATGTGGAATTGATAGCCGTGTCCACAGTTAAATGTGTGTAACGGAATGAACGCTGTCTGCGTCCCTACTAAATATGCCCCCTCGCCATGTCTTCTGATTAAAGACATGATGTAATCGAAATAGAACCTATAAATGCGCATGCGTCGTTATTTGCGCTCATAGCACAGATCGATACAGTAGCATCCTACTAGTTGCTGATCTAAAAAATGTTGTATAGTCTAATGCAGTACTCTTCATGGTTTACAGAATGTGTTTTGATATTCTAAAATTGAAAATGAAGGATTTAATAATCATGCACATTTTCACTAATAAATTGTTGGCACAGACTGCATAGCAAAATACCCCTTACCGAAAAAACAGGCTTCTGGCAAACCTTTGGCCAATTTGTCGCAAATTTGGGTAATATCATATTTTCACATGCATATTCGTTTTGTAGCAGACTGAACTTCTGGCAAACAATTCTGGGAAACTTGTGGCAAAACATTCTGTTTGCTGCAAACTCAGTATGAATATGCAAATTAAATCAGGTTTTTGGTCACTGTGTTAACTTACATACTTCTCAGAGAAAAAAACTAAAACATTAAATGTAGTAAATATACTAAACATGTATTAAATGTCTTAACATATCAAAATAAATCCAATACAACTTGAAATAATCAGCATGGTAAAAAGAGCAAAGACTAGATATTTCCCAAATAAATTGTTTATTTAATATTTTTATGTAGCTACAACATTTACATGAGAGAAATGTGAACACTATGGGTGGGGATGTTGACCTTAGGATGTTTAAAGGGGCAACTACAGAATTATTTACATGAGCCAAGTGATAACTGAGCAATAGATTTCAACCAATGGAAGTTTAAAAGATAAATAACAAAATGTAAATAATTCAAACTAAACTAAATCAAACCCAGTTCAGAACTATTGCCTTTTTGAGTGAACTTTGGAGATGGCGGAGAGTCCTTTGTCCAAAGCTTGTTGAATGCATGCACTGAAACAATCAGAAAACACAAAACAAACATAATCATGAATCATTAAAGTAGTTGGCATTTTCAGAGGTTTTTTTGATGAATGAGCAATCTGATTCAATGAACGTACATTTAGCTATATTCCGCGACAACGATCCAGTAAGTTAGCGTCGCGAGCATGGTCGCGAGGCTAACATTAGCTAGCTAGTAAACGTTACCACAGCCAGAGATATTAGCACAGAAAATGGCTAGCTAGCTAGCTAGCTAACGGTCATTAGCTAACACTCAAGCTAACGTTAGCTAGCTACCTAATTATGATAGGACAACCTATTTAACCTGAATGACCATCAAATTCATAATTTGTAACATTTGTTACTTACCGTTTTCATGGTTTTCAGTCTGCCAAAACACTCTTAGTTTGTCAAAATGGGGTTAGCCGTTTTCCAGTCAGTCACTAAGTCGCAATAGAAGACTTGTAAGTTTCCACATTTTACATTTACATTTTAGTCATTTAGCAGACGCTCTTATCCAGAGCGACTTACAGTTAGTGCTTACATTATTTTATCGAACCCACAACCCTGGCGTTGCAAACGCCATGCTCTACCAACTGAGCTACATCCCCTGCCGGCCAAATCCCTCCCCAGCCCTGGACGACGCTGGGCCAATTGTGCGCGCCGCCCCATGGGTCTCCCGGTCGCGGCCGGCTACGACAGAGCCTGGATTCCACGTCTTGACACTTGCTCACGTTAAGGTGGACATGTAAAACATTTTTTTTTGTTTGCCCCACCAAGATTGACATGCTAAAATCGTCCGTAACCGAACCTTAATAACCCAGCACAAACGACCCAATCTTGCTGTTTTTACAGAAAACAACCCAACTATTGACCCAATGCCTGCAACCCAGCAATTGGGTCATCCAAACAACCCAACATTTTGTAAAGTGTAACTTACATCTCAAAGCCATGCATGCAAGAAGCCTTGGCCTGTCTGGTCCACACACATTTCCCTGTCCTCAGTTTGATTGAAGGCCTCAATCTGTATTTTTGCCTTGTAACTGATTGTTTCTAGAACAAGAGAAGGAACAACATGATCAATATGAGTTAGTTACTACTAGTTTAAAGCAATGAAAGATCTAATTGTTACAAATAATCAATGTATGGGCTACATTTGAAAAACATGCATTTGCATACCTTATCAATCTTGAAGACAATACACTCATTTATCACTCAAAAAGAGTGTTATGAGGGATTGCACCACAAACATATTTCCAGGGTGTTGATGCATCCTCCTCTCTGCCTGTTCCAACACCACGGGTAGGGGAAGGGTATCCATCTGCAAAATAAAATGTTGCATTAATGTCAAATCAACTCATATTGTTGCTACCTTAGCTGTTGTGCTAGCTAACATGCTACTGAACTGTGACACTAGCATATTGACATGGTATTAAGACAGCAACGTATTCACCCAAAAATATAAATGTTTAGGAAAATAATTAGTTAGCTAGCTTAGCTACCTATCACATTAATGTGCAAAAATATGATAGCCAACGTTAGCTAGCTAAGCACAAGCCAGTCAGTGGCACTGACAGATTGAAACTGGTATCAACAAAATGTGTTTCACTCTATCCCATAAAACATTACTATGCTAACTAGACATAATTTAGCAAATAAAATGTTAAAGTTTATTAGCTAGGACGTTTAATTAATAAGTTAGACAATCACCGGACAACTTTGGTAGCTAGCTAGATAGCTTGGTTTCCATTTTCCAACAGATGTTTCTAATCCCCCTGATTGGTAATGAACAGTTACTGGTCTTGGAACTTTTTGCCACAGGTTTGCCATGGATTCAAATTGAATCTTGAGAGAATTGTCTGCCAGAAAAAAATCTCTGGCGAACTCTTTGCCACTAGTGGCAATAAATATTATTGCTGCCAAAGGTATGCTGCAGATTCACCAATAGTGGCAAACATTTGCAAACTTCTGGCAACATTTTGTGGCACACTATTTAGTTTGCAGCAAATTTACCACAAACTTGGGGAAGTTTCTGAAACATTGTCACACCTGTATGTCATATATGAATTTGACATAATGTTATTAGATTCTTATAGTTTTGCTGTTATTTATTTATTTAGGTAGATTTATTTGACACATAGTTTGTTTGATTTTATGTGTTTCCTAAATGTTTAGGTAACTCTTTCCTTACTTTATTTTATTGAAAAATTTAGTCAAAATAGGTGTCTTGAAATTAAAATCCTCTCCTTTTTGTTCTTGCCTTTCAGTCAGAATGGAGAGTCTGGTGCACTATAGTAATCCCTCCCACGGCCTCTCTGTGCTGGGGGTGCTCAACGAGCAGCGCCTGAGGGGGCAGCTCTGTGACACAGTCTTGGTTGTGGGGGATCAGAGGTACCAGGCCCACATGAGTGTGCTTGCCGCCAGCAGTGAGTATTTCCAATCCCTGTTCACACGGAGGCTGTCTGAGACCCACAAAGTGATACAGTTGGACTTCTGTGAGCCTGACGCCTTTGAGGTAGTGCTGAATTACATATACTCATCCTCCCTCTTCGTGGACAGAGGCAGCCTGGCAGCCATCCAGGAGATGGGCTACAGTCTAGGAATCCCCTTTCTAACCAACATCATGTCAACAAGGCCGCATGTGTCCTACTGCGTTTCCAGAAAAATGTTGTCCTTCTCAGAGGAAGTTGACAATGACAGCCAGCCGAGGAGTGTCATTATGCGCCAGAACCGAGGTGGTGATGCTCCCGGCCCCAGTCGCTACGGTTCAAATTATCAAGGAGAGCCCTCAGGACACAGGAAACCAAACGAATCAGCCAGGAACACTGCATCCAATCCCAGAAAATCAGCTGAAGCAATTGGTGAGGGTTCTGATAGCAAGCCCATCTGTTCATATGCCTCCATCTTAAAGGGGAAGACATTATCACGCACAGGGTCATCAGTAAGGCCACAGCTCACCTCCTCAGTCTCCTTCAGTGAATCTCCAACAGTCATGTTACAGACTGAGTCTGATCTAAGCACTAAAGAAGAGGAGGAGGAGCAGAGGCTCTACAGACCCAAACCAACATTTCAGGGCCAGGCAGGGGAGCCTAGCCAGACCATTGACAGGAGTGGCCCACTCATAAAAAGCCTGCTGCGCAGATCATTATCCATGGACAGTCCCGTCCCAGTCTTCTCCCCCACACTGGAGCTCAATAAGCTGCAAGGCCGAGTACAGTCGGTTGTTAAGATGGTGGCAAAGACAGAGGAAGGGACTGAGACAGAGCACAAACACAGTGTGAAAGTGGTTCCGCCACTTCTTCTCAGGTCAAGGCACCACAGTAGGTATGATGATGAAGAAGAAACTCAGGGAGAGGAGTTCAATGTGAAGACAGAGCCTAGCAGCCCACTGTCTGACCCCTCAGAGATCATTAGAATCACAGTGGGGGATTCTCTATCAGTCAACCTAAAAGACATTGAAATGAATTTCGACCAAGGCCCTACTAAGCCATTTTATAATCTCCCTGGAAAGAGAAAGGTGAGAAAAGAGAACAGAAGGTACCCATTCAAAAAGTCCAAAGGGGTGAACAAACATGATTTACCACGTGAAGATGATGACGACGACATGTCAGAATCTGTACCTCACAACTCCAACATGGACGACAATGATGGAGACTGGACTGATGAGCCCAGGCAGAGCAAGATGTTTAAATGCTGGAACTGTTTGAAAGTGTTCAGATCCAAAGCTGGACTGCACCGCCATGTTAACATGTATCACAACCCAGATAAGCCATATGCTTGTGACATCTGCCACAAACGCTTCCACACCAACTTCAAAGTCTGGACCCACTGCCAAACCCAGCACGGAGTGGTACAAAACCCTGCTTCATCCTCCAGTTCGTTCCAGCTGGATGAAAAGTTTCAGAGGAAGCTGATTGATATTGTGCGAGAGAGAGAAATAAAGAAAGCTTTGCTCATGAAGCTGAGGAGGAATAAGCAGGGTTCGCAGTCTCAGGTGTTTGCCAAAAAAGGTGGCCTGAGATCAAGGTCAAATTTGATATGCCCTTACTGTGGGAAAACGTTTTTGTTTCTGTCTCAGTTCAAGCAGCATTTGAAGACACACCCTATGGAGAGAGCCAACCAAGAGACTGAGAGAGAGGGCAGTCTCTGCCAAAAGGACCAGGACCAGCCCGATCAAAGAGAGAACACAGACACAGAGGTTTACTCCTGCAGGCTCTGCAATGAGAAGCTGTCCTCTCACTTTGAGCAGGGAGACCACGAGAGGGGCTGTCGACACGCAACCGTGTGCCCGTACTGTGGCCTCCGATTCTCCAGCCCAGCGGTTAAAAAAGAGCACGAAGCACACTGCAAGTACAAGAAACTGACCTGCCTGGAGTGCATGCGGACCTTCAAGTCCTCCTTTAGCATATGGAGACACCAGGTGGAGGTTCACAACCACAACATTATGACTGTTAAGGAGCAGCTGAGCCATCAGGAAATCAATGGAGAAGCATTTGACCACCTCGGAAGGCCGCTCCATACCCAGGAATCTGTGGGAGCGCTGAGCTCCAGAGAGGACATCATCTACAGTGACTCCTCAGGTCCGCCTATGTTCGACTCAGAGGATTCTTCATCATTCGTGCCCGAGGACTTGAGTGTTAGCCAGCATAAGAACGACCATCACGGCGAGCTGACAGTCAAGGAGGAGCCCATTGAGGAGGCCGTGAGCGAGAGGGAGGATATGACGTCTGGGGCCTCCATCGAGCCCGAGGAGCCAGGTGTTTGGCCATGCGAAAAATGTGGCAAGCTCTTCGGTGGCCACAAAGATCTGGAGCGCCACCAGGAGCTGCTGTGCCACATCAAACCCTTCATCTGTCACATCTGCAATAAAGCCTTCAGGACCAACTTCCGCCTTTGGAGCCACTTCCAGTCCCACATGTCCACCTCCGACGAACATGGAGTGAGAGAGATCGATGACAGGCGCCCTTCGTCTCCCTCCCCCTCACCACCACCGCCGGTCACACAAGCAACTGGACGTCCTGCCCCACAAGTTTCTCCACCTAAACCAATGGAGGCAGAGCCAGTGGTAGCTAAATCTGTGGTAGCGAAGGAGGAGGAGAAGCCTGGAAGCTCGTCATCAATGCCCAGGACCAAGAGGCCAGAGATGGACAGATCATACAGTAGCCCCCTACCCAAGACGGATAGTGTGGATAATCCTCTCACCCCTCAGGAATCAGAAACCTTTTTTTACCATGCCCCCACTCTCTCTGCCCTCACGTTTAAGAGGCAGTACATGTGTAAGCTCTGCCACAGGACATTCAAGACTGCCTTTAGTCTTTGGAGCCATGAGCAGAGCCACAATTAAATGTCTCACTCGAACACCTGTGCTCTGTTTTTGAGCCTGATATGATACTTTATGCTCACAGCATGGTAAAATATAAAATACAACTCTGTCTACACAAGAAAGATTTTGAATGTATCTATTGCTGTTGGTAGTTGGCTTTCCTTCATGTTATATTTTCCAGTGGCCATGTGTGTTGGTGTGAAAACGAATTAGTGCAATTAATTGCTGTTTGCCTCATCATCAGCTCCTTACAATGGTTACTTTGCCTTTGACATTGTTAGTACTGCATAAATCTATTTCAGATAACCCCCTTTGACTCGTCTTTACCTATAAAACTCTTTTGATTCAAGAAAGTGCTTTATTTAGGAATTGCTGTACTGTACAATTCAAGATCAGTTAAATGCTTTTGCTTAAATTGTGAATTTTTTTGATTGATGCGTGACGATTATGAATATGATATTAGTGGCCTCCGGCATCATGTTTATTGATATGCACTTTGCAATTCTGTTCGCTATTAACATTGCGTATATTGGTCAAATTACATTGATTAATTGCTGTTATATTAATCTTTATTTTGGATCCTCTGCGTCCCATTAACATTTCAGCTGTAATCTGTTTTGTACCATAACATTATGGTTTTCATATTGACTATTCATATTAATTCTTCATAATTCAGATTTTGTCATTGCCTTAGTGATAGTTCATGTAGATTATACAAGTAAACAAAACCAAAGAGGAGTTAGATTAGCAAGGGGATAAGAACTGGAAACACATGCAGTATTTTAACTGACACTTTTTGTAGATTCTGAGAAAATAAATAATCTTCATTTCTTGTTTAATTTTAGATATTTCACATTAAATTACAGATCATCATGAGTGGATTATTGTGTAAAGAATAAGTAAAATATGTACTTTATTGGGAAATGAGTTTTGTTTACCTTCTGCCTACTGGGTAGATTTAGTTGTAGTTTTTTAAAATGATTAATTTGGTACAAAAGCACACAAGCAACTTGTATAGTAATACATACACAGGAATGAATTTGAATGGCCAAAGACATGAGTATTGTATCACTGCTCTGTGTCTGAAATAGTTTGTATGATAATTTACACAAGTAATCGTATGAATTGATAGCATGGTCTTAGCATATGCATCCTGAGACAATTTGACAAATGTTCTGTTAAAATGAAGCACAATAAATCGTTGCAGAGTAACTACTTTTTTTACTTGGATATTTTGAAGGATTTACAACCAAGATCCAATAAAGGGTTACAAAAATTAAGAACATGTGAAAGCAAGACTGTTGCCCTAGGGGGAAAAGTCGGATTTGGAAAATAGTTCCTATACAACAGTCAGATGATTTGGGGTTGCTGTGGTTGTGATGGCTTGTTAATTACAGTACATCTGGAAAAGAGGATTGAAAATAAGATTACATTTTTTTATCAATGATTTGTTCGTTTTATGATAACTGTAACCTCAGATTACATTTGTACATTTATTGAGACCGCAGTAACCACAGATATCGATATTCAGATTTGAAAGATGTAACTTTTTGATGTTTAAATTCTGTGGTTAGGTTCTAACAAAATATGTATTTAAATTTGTGCTCTGAATTTGTGTGGAAGCTCAAAAAAATAAAAATTGAGTTAAAAGAAATTGAATATAATTTTGTGTAAATGGCAGCGTTTGTATAACTTTTAATTTTGTACCTATAATTAGTTTGTTTATGAAAATACATATCTTTATTACTCTGCTATTTCTGCAATCATGCGTATTTGTATGGGTTGCATTATTGTTGCTTTACATGAACGGCAGCTGTTTTGTGTTTTTTCTACAGTTTTTGTGCGTGAATTATTTCTGTAATAAAGAGTGATATTGCGGTAGCTGCCTTGGTATTGAGTGTGTATACTGTTTGGATTTTATTAATAAGAAACTAACACCCTTGAATCATGTTATGGTTTTCAGGAGAAGTTGGTATGTGTTTAAATGAGTAGTGCCTCTGTACCTGGCTTTGGCTTCCACTATGGAACTGTTGAAACTGCAATCTGGTTGAAAACATATTTTTTTAACATGTTTGCGCTAGTTGCAACATTATTAAGGCATGTCCAGAGCTGTTACAGATAAAATAGCTGTTACAGATGGAAAACCGCTAACTAATGTGATAAAGAGAAAAGGTGGCAATGTTATTCCTTGGACAGATGGTCACTGCCATGGGTCACAGAGATGTTTTTCAAGCTATATAGCCACTTGGACAGTGGTGACACATTTTTTGGCTGTGAATCAGGAAGGGAATTTGTGGTCTGCACTGATGTGGACATTGAGGATATGGAGTCATTATAGTACAAGGTCATCCTCTGAATGAAAAAGATATGATTGGAGAGGAAACCTTTGCAACAGATTATGAAAAACATCCATACAGCTGAATGGCAAAGAATGCTTTTGAATAAAGCATCTGGCCTCTCAACCTAAAAAATCCCCTGACTGTTTAGTTACTAATTCTTTATTTGAAGATTTCCTCCACATCTTTGCAAGTTGACCTGTCTGATGATGCATGTTTGGTATGCAGTATACTGCACAAATCTGAACCTGTAAAGGACAAGACAGGCCAACAAGAACGTTGGGCGTCTGCAGTAAATCACCTGCTGGGTGTCGACAAAGTGTGGCGATTCAATGTGTAGTCAGGAAATTAACATAAAATGATTAACGATGTTCTGTGAAATGATTAACGAGTGGCGCAGTGGTCTGAGGCACTGCATCGCAGTGCTAGCTGTGCCACTAGAGATCCTGGTTCGAATCCAGGCTCTGTCGTAGTCGACCGGGAGACCCATGGGGCGGCGCACAATTGGCCCAGCGTCGTCCAGGGTAGGGGAGGGAATGGCCGGCAGGAATGTAGCTCAGTTGGTAGGGCATGGCGTTTGCAACGCCAGGGTTGTGGGTTCGATTCCCACGGGGGGGGGCCAGTATAAAAAATAATGTATGCACTCACTAACTGTAAATCGCTCTGGATTAGAGCGTCTGCTAAATGACTAAAATGTTTTTTTTTAAATGTACTGTGGTCAGAGGCAATAGGACGGCAACCCACCGCGCACGACCAACGTTCGTGTTGGTCTGTCTTGTACTTAACATCAGTAAGCACAGTAGCAGGTGGTTTGCTAAAATAACAATTTGGGATGTGAAATTAATTCAGGTGATCATTTTATTTTCAAAAGTGAAACATCTTTCTACACATCATTTTCTTAAAGCAAATGTCAAACATAAATAAGAAAATGACTTTACAATTACTTGAAAATATAAAACTTCCATAAAGCAGTTATTACATGAAAACCTGTTTCAGACAGACATGCTCCTTGCAGCACTTTGTTCATACAAAAAACATAAAAGCAAAAATGATACTTGACAATGTTATACTCTGTACTATCGGATGTGAAAGGTCATGTTTCAGTGTTGACAAAGGCATTTGGAGAAAGAATAGAGATAACTAGGATCCTAAAATGACTGCTTACAAATGTGAATAAAACTGATTTTACTTTCTGATTAGACATTGGGTGGTTGTACTTCTAGCGTACTATCAGTGCTTCTAACTAATAGTTAAGACACCCACAGGCCTGCAAATGCCCATGTCAATGAAGCAATTACATCCCATAGCCAATAAAGCCCACAATTTAACCTGGTCCCAGATCTGTTTGTGTCATCTTGCCAACCAAGGGTTAAAAAATGTAAGAACATGTGAAAGCAAGACTGTTGCCCTTGGGGAAAAGGCGGGATTTGGAAAATAGTTCCTATACAACAGTCAGATGTTTTGGGGTTGCTGTGGTTGTGATGGCTTGTTAATTACAGTACATCTGGAAAAGAGGATTTAAAATAAGATTAAATTTTTTTATCAATGATTTGTTTGTTTCATGATAACTGTATCCTCAGATTACATTTGTACATTTATTGAGACCGCAGTAACCACAGATATTGATATTCAGATTTGAAAGATGGAACATTTTGATGTTAGGTTCTAACAAAATATGTATTTAAATTTGTGCTCTGAATTTGTGTGGAAGCTCTTAAAAAAAGAAACTGAGTTAAAAGAAATTGAATATAATTTTGTGTATATGGCAGCATTTGTATAACCTTTAATTTAAGCAATTACATCCCCTAGTCAATAAAGCCCACAATTTAGCCTGGTCTCAGATCTGTTTGTGTTGTCTTGCCAACTTCTATAGTCATCCAATGGTCACAACCATAAGAGTTGACAAGACAGCACAAAACGATTTGGAACCAGGCTACCCACAGCCATGTTTTAAGATGCACATCATCTTGAGGTGCCCTCACAGTGCTAAGGTGTCTTTTATTAGCCTTCTCATGGTGGTGCTCACTGAGGTGCCCAGCGTATCAGTGATCTGAAAAGTGATTTTGTACAGGTAAGGCTGGACGTCTTTGAGGCTGGTGTCGAACACATTGTCCACTTCCGACTGGGTGGGCATCTTGGGTAGGTACTCGTGCCGGTTGATCACCTCCACGATGTTGATCACCTTCTCACCCAGCTTCTCGCCCACTTTCTCCCGGCAGATCTGTCTCTCCTGCTCGTTGGCCAGGTTGACGACATTGACCTTAATGCTCCAGACCTCCCAGGGAATACACTCATCGGAGAAAGGCCACCGGGACTTTTTTTTCTGGTAGAACTCCAGTGAGATTTGTCCCATTCCATCTGTCCCATTTCCCATGGCATCCTGTAAAGCACAATATAGATCCAGAGGTCAATGGATGCCAATAAATAACAATTATTGTTATACAGAACATAACTCATATGTTATCTAGCTATATGTTTTAGTGTATTATATCTATCAATTTCAACAATCAGTCATCAGATAAGCCTACCTTGAATTCTCCTACTGCTTTCCTGATGACCCTGTCAAGCTCATCTGAAGAAACACGAACAAAACTGAAATCAATGAAGTCGCAGTCAATGTCCTGTGTGCCAACAGTGCCAATGGAGTAGGTGCCCTCTTTCTTGTAATGAAATTTCCCAGTGCTGCGATGCAGTAAGATAGTGTGTAACAGAGCCAACATGGCCTCGTCGACCTGTCTTCCCTCCACCGACACTTCCAGAGCCTCCGAACGGCAGTTCATGGTGATCTGTTTCCCCACAGAAGCAGATGGAATATATGGGGGAACTTGCTATTCCAGCACACCCTTCAACTGTTGTTTACGTTCCATCCAACTGGGCTAAACATCTAAACAAGCTAGCTAGCTAACGCGTTAGCTGCTAACGTTACTGCTAGCTATTGTAAGTAGCTAACTAGCTATTAACGCAGCAAACGTTAGTTTCCTGTGGCAAGCTCGATGGTTATCAATAGAACACGTTACTTTCAGACTGACTTGTTGAATATTGCAACATACATATGTAGAAAATATGTTGTTGCTAGCTATGTTCTTTACATGTATTTATTAATAATAACTTGTTGACACACAAACTGTAATTTCGTTGTCCTACTAAAGATGGGAGGAGCTACTTCTGTTAACGCAACGTTGGAAAATCTTGTGGTCCAATCCGAGCCTTGTGTCCGTTCTTATACCTCCGTTCTTGTATCTCTGCAATGTAACAACACGTGTACATAAGTCAGAAACTATCGATAAAAGCTATGTAATTGCAGTTATTTCTACATCAAAAAGCTGATTTTCTTAGATATGAAAATGTATTTGAAGATATAATTGATAGTTTCGGAAGACCAACTAGAGATGAAAACAAGGCCCACATGCGCACATGGGCACTTCAAAATATCGCTATGCACTCTGGGAATAACAGTTCATGCCACATCACATGACATTTGCAAATTTTAGATTTCGGTAATCGACGGTGTCGGAGATGGTCTTCGAGCGTGTGATGAGGCTCACAAAATTATCAATTTGTTCGTCGTTTGAAGCCATTAATAACTATCACTTGGCTTTACGCCATGGATGCCAGAAATGATTAATTGACATTACTACGTGTTGTTAGCTAGCTAGATAACTTGCTAAATTAGCTAACGTTGACTTGTAATTTGAATGAGAGAAAGGTCTGATGCTAGCTAGCTAACTTTTATGAAAAGCTCGTCGCTATGTGTAGTTAGCTAATTTACTGTTGTTGGCTAGCAATGCCAGGGGCTAGCTAGCAAAATACAGACATTTGATACAATGGTGTTCAGCTAACGTTAGAGCTGAGTGGAGCTTGCTTGGTCTAACTTACTCAAAATGCTCAGTTATTTAGTAGGTAGCTAAGTTACTTGCAATAACGTTAAGTAAACCATTTATATTGCTTGCTTGTTAGCTACCTAGCTTTCTATTGCAGTTTTAAAACCAGATAAAGTTAGCAAACGTTAACAAGGATTAACTACTTCCTTGAGAAGTCTGTAGGTACTCATTTTGGGATATTTTAGTTGAAAGTTGAGCCTCCATCAGGAACCAGGATATTATTAACAAGACAAGAGGCTAACATTGCATAAAGTTACTGGTTCAGTGGTTGAACTTGTTGGCAAGACTAGCTCCCATTGCTAATATAGCTGGATCCATAACTCCGTTAGATGGCTAACGTTAGCTACTTGTCTTGAATGACAGGGACTTTCTTGAAAAGCGCATCAGACCATGTTTTTGTACTGGTCTTACTTTCAAGAGACCATTGTCATTAGTTAAATAGCTAGCTATTTAAGTCAGTTGCTGAGGATGACTGACTCAGAAAGTCCCCTTTCAAATTCTGGTTTGGGAGACTTGCAGTGGCTTTGCATGGTAACACTGTTCATTGCATCCAGCATTACATTGATACTGTATCTAATACAGTATTTTTACGACGATCTACGGATACAGAAGCCTGAGCAAAACAATGCTGTTTCGGAGGAAGCGGACGCTCTGTTGGGATGGGCGCTGTCACTGAAAAGCTGGAAAAGTCAATGGAGAGGTGCTTGGTGCAGAGCGTTGAATGACGAATCGAGGAAGTCTGGGGTAAGTCCCATGACCAATACAATAGTTTATTTCGCATTCCAAATTACTATGGATTTACACGAGTTGCCTGTAGCTAAATACATTAATAGCAAAGTCAGTGACAGACTTTAGAAATAATCTACTGTAGCACAACAAACAAACAACATATGAAAACAGGATCTGTATTAACTAAAGCTAGACCTGAGCACACAGGTGAGCCTCGTGGCAGAAGAGATCACTGTCACAGAATCCAGTGTCAACAATCTTGATTCCTGTGCCTTGCTGCTGTGCCTTGTTGTAACCTTCTCATCTCATACCAAATTGTAAACATGATCCATTTGTACCCTGTTCTCTGACTCTTTACTTGAAACTGTCAAAAATGAAGTGTAATGTTGAGTTAATGTCAGTTGTTGGGGCATAGCCTATTGCTGATCACCACCTGACCCAGGTACTCCTAACTCACACAGAGCCCAGTGCAACTAACATTTGAAGAGGATGGCCTTCAGTCATCAGAGCTGGTGGTTGGCCAAGTGTCCAGCTTCAAAAAGTCTGCTGGTCAGAAGGTAAGATAAAATCCCTGTGTCTCAGACTGGCTCTCATGGAATGGCTTGCAACGAATTGCACACAGAATGAAAAGCTCAGTACATGATTCCGTATAGCCCAGATATGGTTCATGGTTGTTTTTTAATGCTTATTTTCCTGATAAAATCAAGTTTGAGATCAATTGGGTCATTGTTGAACCCAGTGCAGCGTCGTCGTCTTCCTACAGCCACTTAAATGGTTAACCACAGTTAGAAAAGAAAGCATTTATGCTGTTGCCATTTCCTAATCAATGTGCCCTAATGTAATAACCCACCACTGTAGTCACTCCACTCTTCCACTGTAATTCAATGTAAAGGGGAGTGCTTTACTGGAGCTGCAGCCTTTTAACTTAATTTCAGGTCCGCAGTGGCCAATATTCTGATTCACACAATGTCCATTAGCTTCACTGGCACTTCCAGACATTTTCCCCCTCGCCTTAAATTGTCTGACCAGAACCAATAGCAGCCTTTTTGCAGATTTCATGCAGTAAGCACATTTTTACAACCTCCTCTCCAGCTCCAAGTTTATGGGATCATCATATAACCAGACCCTCTACTAAAATAAAGGTGAACAGAATTCTCACTGTTTTTATACATTCTCAGAAGTTATCAATAATATTTTCACCAATAGCATTAGCAGATTTTGTATTGAAAGGAAAGCAAAGCAGGGTTTTTCCGATAGACTAGTCTGTGTTATTTAAGCTGCGATATGTAACTTTTTGGGCGACCCGACCAAAGTCAAATAGAAATGTGAGTTATAGATCTGTCATTGTCATTGAAAGCAAGTCTAAGAAGCAGTAGATCTGTTCTATGTGCGCTATTTCAATGATTCCCGTTCTTACGTTTTGTTTTTGCATCTTTTACATTTTTGGTTTTGTACACCAGCTTCAAACAACTGATAATACAATATATTTGGTTATTGAAAATATATTTCACAGCGGTTTAGATGGTACAATGATTCTCTGCGCTTGTTTGTTTTGTCACAAACTGAAATTAGGAGAACTATTAGAATTTTAGCAAACCAGGAAATGGCGAAGCGATTTCTGCATATTGCACCTTTTAAATTCCTGCACAGCTTTTTTTGTTTAGGATTTTCTGTAATATGCAAGCTCCAGATGCTGCTTCATTGTTTTAGACTTTGGTGAACAAAGGCTTATCCTTGCCCAGCCTGCATGAGTGAGTGTGCAGTAAGAAGCTTAGTAGCTGTCTCCTTATAGCCAGCCCAGTACAGATAAACACTAATGGAGACAAGAGGGAACTGATGAGGAGGGTCCTGCTGGGAGAAATGGGCAGTATAATGAGATACTTCATGTTTGGAGCTTTCAAGTTGATAGTGGTCACACACTGAACGGGTTAAAAAATAAACAACACACACACAGTAAGGAAGAAAACCAGGTAAACCAGTCTGAATGTGAACCATGTATGCACTTTGCAAGAATACCACAATTATGGTCGGGCATGTTTAGCACCAAGCACCTTTTTACCTCAAATGCATTTTTTTGTGTAACCTTGATTACTATATGGTACTATTGTAACTATGCTGTCTGGTCTTCCCCTAGGCTGCACAATGCAAGGTGGTTGGGGACAAGCTTCAGTTCTCCCTCAGTGCCTCACCATCAGCCATGTCTCCAGGAGAGCCCTGTAGGTACAGCGTGAAGATATCGCCACTTGAACTGCAGGTAAATGAACACAACAGTTATGTCCACTACATCTGCTGCTAACATCTGTCCCATCCCATCTCTATTGGAGCAATGCTTTAGACAAACAAAGGGAGAGTGAGGAAGAGGGGGGCAGGGCTCCTGGTTGTCTCACTGTGTTGTCTTAATGGAGGAAGCTCTGTGATTTATTGAACATGACGCACTTCAGCGTAGCTTTGCTGCTGCAATGAGAATCGGATTAAATGGCGAGGGCCTAGAGGTTGGCAAATGTCCTGGAGACCTTTAAATCACTGTCAGTCTAATGTAAAATACTGGAGGGGGTAAAGGTGCCCCTTTTTCCTTACTACCTCCACTTTTGTCATTGGAGAAGAGTAGGATCACAGACATAATCACATACTAATGGGTTTAAGTAATGTTTTTGATGTTGAGTAATGTTCCCTTTTTTATGCAAAACAAAGTAGAGATGGCTTGATACATCCATTTTATTAGCGTCGTCCATAACTGGGCACGAATTACAGTCAAATCTCTGTTGACTCAGGCTCACCCATAAAGTTTAGCAATCTAGCCTTTCCCTCTGCTGGTTATTCCTCTAGGTTGCTTGCTGTAGCCTAGTACTACTTGTGGTTTCATATTGAACATCATGAAAGTGAGAAAGACCGCAGGAGTGTGCGTTGTGGGTATATTACATAAAGCTCTATAAGCTTCCATCCCGTCTAAGTTATTGAGCCAGTTGTTAAGCGGTTGCAAATGCACGGCTAGTAAGTGGCTGTTGAAGTTAACCAATTGAATTAAAGCTATTTTTAAATAAATAAGGTGCTTGACTTGTTAACTCGTTGCGGGCTTGATCCTGCCGTAAATACAGTCCAGTGAGAGGTAAAAAATCTAAAGCCAGGATTTGGTTTGGTCAGGACACCTTTGTTAGGGTTTTGGATTGGTTGTTGTTTTTGGGAGGGGTAGTGGGAGGCTATTGTTTAGTTTTTTTCACTCTCCCTTCTTCGGTTTGGTCTGGAAAAGTCCTGGGGGCAGACCTTTTGAAATATTTTCATCCTTTTTCACGTTGCGACTGACTGACTCTGCCCGGCACTAGAATGGTCCCTGTTCTTGTTATGAGTGATTGTGAAGGGATATATTTGTACAGTATATTGAGACCGTGTGTTTCTCTTTCTGCCTCACTCACACGCTCTGTGGTTTTGCAGCTTAGTGCACTTTGGCCATGTGTAACCACAGTTGTAACACAACTGTAGTATCATTGCAGTGGGGCATTTAATGTGACTCACGTGATAGGCTACTTTAAATGGAATCCTTTTGTTCTCAGGTATTATTTCCTCAACCATAAAAGACTAGGCTATATTCATTCCCCATTACTATAATGACAGTCAGTTTGTTGTTAACATTTTCCCACACATTGATGATACATCTCCCAAATATTAGTGCTTCTGGCAAAATATGGCTGCTGTACTTTACTCACCATTACTTGAGTCCACTTGTACTGTCCTTTATGTAACACTAAGGCCTACACATTTTCCGGTATGACCAAAACTTATTTTACTGATCAAACTGCTATTATTTTTGCTAAATCCAGGGTATTTCAGTGGTATCAGAAAAAGCCTTTGTTTGGTAACACAGAGTTGGCTGTACAGTCAGAGCGGAATCTATGCATGCTGGGACAGGATGGCCCAGTCACTAGTATACAGTCTCTCCCTCTCTAGCCCTCTGTCTCCCTCCCACACTCGCTCACTCTCCCTCTCTCTCACTTACTCTCTCTTTCTCTCTCTATGCTGGACTGCTCAATTACAGCTCATTGTGTTGGCTTGCACTCTGCAGGGCTGAAGCGTGTGTTTGTGTTAAGTATGTGGTGTGTGTGATAATACAACAACTGTGTTGTTGCTCATGGTGGTTCTGTTGCCCTCTGTTCCCCAGTTGGACTTACAGATGAGGGAGGCTGAAGGAGAGGTCTGGGTGGGCTGGGGGGTGACCCATCTGGAGACATGGGACCTGCAGCTCAGCCCCAGCTTCACACAGGTGTGGCCCATAGCCCACAGTCTCAGTAAAAAAATTAAAATAAAGGCAATACACATTTGAAAAACTAAGAGCTTCACTACTTCCTGAGGGTAAACTGTAAACCTGAACATGTTTTTTTTAATGATGTTTCCCAAAATCAGCAGTCCAGACAAGTCAAACTGTAATGCAGATGATTGCTAGTGATGTGATGGTGGAGTGTTGATTTGTTTGCTTGTCTGTCAGGACAATGCCACAAGCCCCAGTGTGGCTGCAGTAAAGGACAGGCTGAGACAGCTGCTGTGTGCGGTGCGTCCCTCCGTGATGCTGAGTTGCAGGCCTGCTCAGGCCACAGAGGTCAAGGTGAGAGGAAGACATTACAGTTTGATACGGGAACAGGGCTCCCGTGGGTCAGGACAGGACAGGATCGTCAGTCCACAGGAATGGGCAGTACAGGAATAGTTATAAACAGTTTTTTTTGGGGGGGGGGGGGGGGTCGGATAGAAATATGTAACGTGTGGAGAGAGAAAAAACCTGTGCGTAGGCCTAATATAGTTTACTAAATAAATGTAGCCATGAATAACTTTGTTGTAGCCAGGCTCACTCTCGCGCGCCTCGCTCCAGTTGTAGCCAGTCACTAATTACCTCAGATGCACGCAGAGACATACACAATTGCACGTCCATATCATGAGTTCATCTGACTCTGGGTAAGTAGAAGGGCTGCCTTCATGGCCTAAATCTCGTAAATGTCTCGCGAGCGTTGAGCAGTAGCCAAACGGAGCAGTTGCTATGGCTACTCACAAGCAGAGCGCACTATAGCATTAGTGGATACTCAAACTGCTCTCAGGCCAGGTCTTCCGGTTTTGACTAGCAGAAGTTACTTTTCATTGCAGGTTAGGAGAATTAACGTGGCAGGTTAGGAGAATTAGGTTAGGGTTAGCTAAAATGCTAAAATTGTCCCTGACGCGACTCAAATATATCTAGGTACAACCTGCCCTGAGAACAGTCTTGGTTTCCACTAAAGCCATTCTACACGCAGAGCGGGGGACAAACGAGCAGCTAACGGAGGAGGTTATTTCTGATTTCTGCTCGTGAAAATGAGTACGGGACAGGAGTGATTTTTATCGGGGCGGGACAGGAAAGTTCCGGTGTTATGGAACTGTTGCGGCATCAGGACAGTACGGGAAAATGTTGACATGACGGGACAGGAATACATTTTCACTCCTGTGTCAACCTCTAGAAGACATACAACAACAAATGCACCCTGTCAGCACATCGTGCGCCTGTCACCCGTTGGCCGTTTCTATACCTCTCTATTGATAGATTGCCTGATATTCAGAAGCACTGAATATCAACATAGTTAGGTTTCTTAGTCTCTACACCATGCATTCCTGAGTCAGGTGTGTTAATGCTGGGCTGGAACAAAAGCATGCGCACCCTGTAGCTCTACACTACTCTCCACTACATGAAATATGGAAGTGCCTAATATCGGCATGTTCTCTATCCCCTTCTCTAGGAGGCCTGTAAGAAGGTGACATCACCCCCCAAGCCCCCCCGCGCTCACGACTGGAAGCTGCTGGTGAAGAATATCCGGGTGACATGTAAGGAGCAGGAGGACTGTGCTGCAGGTGAGGTTCAACCATGGACACATGGGTAAAACAATGAAGCTTTGTTACAGCTCCACATGTGCCTCATCTTGAGGTGGCTGCCAGCAGAGATAACAGTAGCATGGACCTCAAGGAGCCGCTGAGACTTGTTATTTTCTGATGTCAGTTGAACCCATTGAACCCGACTCACTGTTGTTCCAAACTCCCCTACGGTAGCAGGCCTGTCAGAGCTGCAGCTCATCACCCACAGCAGGGAGAGAGAAGAGCGTCTCTCCCTGAATACATTACTGTTGATAATTAGATGTGTGGTGTTCAGCACTTCTCTCCCCCCAGTTGCTCCTTTTTCATTAAAGCGAAGAGGACAACTATGCTGATAGGGTTTATTGATGAAATGTGCAGTGTGGCCAATAGCCAAGGAAGCAGCAGCTATTCAATAGGCAGGGCAACTTGTGTCTCTACCAGTTGATGCATTATTCATTCAGTTACAAGCCTGAAAGCCAGACCTACTTTATCTCAGCCATTGACATGTACACTGATATTCCTAATATTGAGTTGAACCACCCCTTTTCCCTCTACAAGGTGTCGAAAGCGTTCCACAGGGATGCTGGCCCATGTTGACTCCAATGCTTCCCACAGTTGTGTCAAGTTGGCTGGATGTCCTTTGGTTGGTGGACCATTCTTGATATACACGGGAAACTGTTGAGCGTGAAAAACCCAGCAGCGTTGCAGTTCTCGACACACTCAAACCTACCTGGCACCTAGTACCATACCCTGTTCAAAGGCACTTAAATCTTTTGTCTTGCCCATTCACCCTCTGAATGGCACATATACACAATCCAAGTTTCAATTGTCTCCAGGCTTAAAAATATCTCTTTAGCCTGTCTCCTCCTCTTAATTTATACTGATTGAAGTGGATTTAACAAGTTACATCAATAAGGTATCACCTGGATTCACCTGGCCAGTCTGTCATGGAAAGAGAAAGTGTTCCTAATGTTTTGTACACTCAGTGTAAATGTACTAGTCACTACAAGTTACCACCATGCTATTAACCCTTCTCCTGCAATTTCCTCAGCCCGCGAAAATCTAATTTACATAACAATAGAAAAAACATCAAAATCCATCTGTTTCAGCTAGAGAGATCTGTTTTTTTGCATGAGCTGCGTCTCAATCCACCCCATCCGCCGATATCACCCTTCCGCATCTGCGGTGAAAGGTGGCAGAGCTAGATCTGTGTTTGTCAGACCATGAGACGTCCCGAAAATCGGTCTTCTCACGAAAACATCTGTAGCGTCCGAACGGTTTGGCCTACAAACTATTATGACCCCTCTGTGGAAAGGAGCAAGACTAGGAACAAGACTCATCTGAAGGTCCCAGGTACCAGTTTAAAAAATGAATGGAAGTATATATGGAGATAGTTTAGTGCCTAAAATAAGGGGTTAAATACATGTCCCAAAATTGGACACACCTACTTGTTCCAGGGTTTTTCTTTATTTTTACTATTTCCTACATTGTAGAATAATAGTGAAGACATCAAAACTATGAAATAACACATATGGAATCATGTAGTAACAAAAAAGTGTTAAACAAATCAAAATATATTTTAGATTCTTCAAAGTAACCACCCTTTGCCTTGATGACAGCTTTGCACACTCTTGGCATTCTCTCAACCAGCTTAGCCTGAAATGCTTTTCCAACAGTCTTGAAAGAGTTCCCACATGCTGAGCACTTGTTGGCTGCTTTTCCTTCACTCTACGGTCCATTGGGTTGAGGTTGGGTGATTGTGGAGGCCAGGTCATCTGATGCAGCACTCCATAACTCTCACTAAAATAGCCCTTACACAGCCTGGAGGTGTGTTGGGTCATTGTCCTGTTGAAAACAAATGAAAGTCCCACTAAGCCCAAACCAGATGGGATGGCATATCGCTGCAGAGAGCTGTGGTAGCCATGCAAAAATCATCTGTTCACCTACTCTGCGTCTCACAAAGACACGGCGGTTGGAACCAAAAATCTCTAATTTAGACTCATCAGACCAAAGGACAGATTTCCACGGGTCTAATGTCCATTGCTCGTGTTTCTTGTCCCGTGTTTCTTGGCCCAAGCAAGTATCTTCTTCTTATTGATGTCCTTTTAGTAGTGGTTTCTTTGCAGCAATTCGACCATGAAGGCCTGATTCACACAGTCTCCTCTGAATAATAATATGAACAGTTGATGTTGTGATGTGTCTGTTACTTGAACTCTGTGACGCATTTATTTGGGCTGCAATTTCTGAGGCTGGTAACTCTAATGAACTTATCCTCTGCAGCAGAGGTAACTCTGGGGCTTCCTTTCCTGTGGCGGTCCTCATGTGAGCCAGTTTCATCATAGCGCTTGATGGTTTTTGCGACTGAACTTGAAGAGACGTTCAAAGTTCTTGAAATGTTCCGTATTGACTGACCTTAATGTCTTAAAGTGTTGATGGACTGTCATTTCTCTTTGCTTATTTGAGCTGTTCTTGCCATAATATGGACTTGGTCTTTTACCAAATAGAGCTACCTTCTATATACCACCCCTACCTTGTCACAACACAACTGATTGGCTCAAACGCATTCAGAAGGAAATAAATTCCACAAATGAACTTTTAACAAGGCACACCTGTTAATTGAAATGCATTCCAGGTGACTACCTCATGAAGCTGGTTGAGAGAATGCCAATAGCATTTATTTATCAAGGCAAAGGGTAGCTATTTGAGGAATCTCAAATTTAAAATATTTGTTTAACACTTTTTTTTTTGGTTACTGCATGATTCCATGTGTGTTATTTTATAGTTTTGATGTCTTCATAAAAAATTAAGAAAAACCCTGGAATGTGGAGGTGTTTCCAAACTTTTGACTGGTACTGTGTATATATATATTCGTTTTCTGATCTTTCTGATATCTTTCAGATATAGGACAGACATTTCAGAACAAACTTCGTTTCAATATTTTTTGGGACTATTTGTTGTTCCATGTAGTGACTCTTTTATTCAATGCGTTTCTATGAGCTAATAGCAGTAATGCCAAATTCAAAAATGCCTTAAGGGGTCTTTAAACTAAAGTGTTCAGACCATAGAAATAGAATGAACTCATTCTAGTTCTGTGGTTCAGACATCGAACGTCAACTACAATTTGTATTTTCTTTTACAATTTTCTTTCGTTTTCACAATTAATTGAACATCAACATAATCGAATTTTCAAACATCCTAATGCTCATGACTTGGCTTGTCAGTGTACTGTATTGACTGGTATTTAGATATCCCCAACCAACCTCAATGTTTGATTTGTATGCGGACGTGCATTTCTGTTGAACTCCTCTTCTGTTGTGTTTGCACTTCGCAGGCAGTATGAATCCCCTGTGTGTGCTGCAGCTAGACGACCCTCCACAGAAATTCTCCACTTCAGTCCTACAGAACACAGCCAGCCCAGCCTGGGACCAGCCCTTCATCTTGTGAGTCCAGACTCGAGATCCACTGCTGCAACTGCTGCTGCTGCCAGAGTCTTTACAGAGTCCCCTTTTATATGGAAAACTTTATATGAAAAAATGAAGCTAGTAGCCATTATAGTGGCTTGTGAGCTCAATCTTTTAGTAAACACTTGCCAACCAGTCGCATAATATCCAACCCAAAGTCCCTCTCTCTTCCTCATTGTCTTTCTGTTGCTCGTTTTCAGTTTTGTAAATGTTTCTCTTTCTCTCACCCAGTGAGCTGAATGGACGATCAAAAGAGCTCAATATTCAGCTGCTGGATGATGGGAAACCTCAGAGTAAGTATATATTTGTTTTGTATCTCTAAATGTAGGCACAGGGTGAGGTAAGGACACTAATAATGTCTGATACACACCCACAACAGTTGAATTTAAGAACAATTTAAGCTTTTTATCGCCCTTAAAATATGTCTGACAGCCTTAAAATGTCCTCTATCATTTTGTCTGTCATTTTACTCATACAGTGACTTATTGTTGTTTGTGTGCAAAATTACACGTATGAAGTCTTGTTATAGCAAACTGATTGGGATGTGTTGTCTTCCTGACAGACTCCTTACTGGGTCAAATGTCCGTGCCTTTTGATCTGGTGAAGAAGCAACCCAAAGGACAGCAAACATTTGCACTCATTACCAAAGACCAAGTGACTGGGTCACTTATTGCTGAGGCAAGATAACTAGCTTTTTTAAGGCCCAGTGTGTTTTATATATATTTCCACACTATGAGGTTGGAATAATACTGTGGAATTGTGAAAATTATGATAATGCCCTTTTACTGTAAGAGCTGTTAGAAAAGACCACCTGAAATTTCAGCTTGTTTTGGTGGGAGTTAGTTTTGACCTGCCTGGGTTAACAGACCAATAAGAAGGAGTTCCAAACCACTCTGCCAATAACAGCTAGTTTTCCATTTTCTGCTCCCCACTCCCAGACAGTCCTAGCTAAATTCTTGCTTGAGAAATTGCTCTTTGTTAAGAGGCTATTTTTGTTTATTTTTGACCATTTTATTGAAAGCATTTACAGTAAGTTACATAATTGTTACCCAGAAATTATTTGAAATTGAAATAAAAACGGCAGCATTGGACCTTTAAACGTCTTAATACATATCAAATTCATATCCAACACCTTACCATTTTACACAATGAATTTGAAGTTTTATTGAAATTCTTGAACCACTATGATAGTCATGTCATTCCATCCTTTCTCTCGTCCCCCAGTTTACCTACTTGGAACCCAGCGAGGTGCGGTCGTGGCAGCCCCCTACTCCAGCCCCCACTAAGAGAGTGGAGATGGACCGCACGGTCATGCCCTGCGGTACTGTGGTCACCACAATCACTGCAGTGAAGAGTAAACCAGCTCGACCACTACTGCCTGGACTCAGCACAAATCCAACCCAGCGTACGTATTTAATCTTTAACAATACAATTAATGTTTAAGATGGAACCCCAAAAGTATGGCGGTAAGAGCCAACTAGATGGAAAATCTGTTGATGTGCCCTTGAGCAAGGCACTTAACCTGAATTGCTCCTGTAAGTCGCTCTGGATAGGCTTTTGGACTTTTTTTCAACACGACTGCCTCTAGTCTAGGCATTACTATGAGATGTTGCTTACAGGAGATGGGCTCAGATTATTTTAAATCAAATGTATCGAATGCAATTACCGGTATTATTGTCAATAAGTTGATAAGGAACTTATCCAAATGATCTTGTATGTTTTCAGAGACCCCCTTGAAGCCTCCCAGCGGCACCAAGTCCAAGCTGTCGTCTCGGAGGGTGTCAGAGCAGCCATCCATGCGGGGGACCATGGGGAGCAAGGCCCTGTCCTCCTCAGACACAGAGCTGCTCATGCTCAACGGGTCCGATCCCGTGGCAGAGGCCGCCATCCGCCAGCTCCACGAGTCAGCCAAGCAGAAGCTCAAGTCCCCGGTCAAGAAGAGCACCATCATCATCTCAGGAGTGGCCAAGGTACCATAATAATACATAAGATTTGTTTAGGGCTTTTCTGAAACCCAAAGACACTTAAACTCAAAGGCATACGATACAGAGCAGCTAGGCAGTACACTCCAAAGGTCAAATAGGGGATGCTTATATTTGTCGTGTTTCACTTTACAAGTGGATAACCTGCACAAGTGTGAAATGCAAATGTTTTTTTGCATATCCAAACCCCCACTGAGATTGGGGTCACAATCAGGGATCAGCCATTATTGATTGCGACCCTGGAGCAATTAGAGTTAAGTGCCTTGCTCAAGGGCAGAGCAAAATAAAATTCACCTTGTTGGCTCAGGGATTCAAACTAGCAACCTTTAGGTTACTGGCCCAAAGCTCTAACCGCTAGGCTACTCTCTACCTCTTAGAGGCTCTTCAGCTCTTCTTTTTGAAATGTTAACAGTGGGTTTTCTATTCTGTACTCCATTTCCTAGACCCCTCTGTCTCAGGATGATGAGATGGCCTTGATGGCGGGCTACGCTGCTGCGATGGATGCCTCCATGTCGGAGGGGGGTTCTCAGGAGATTGCTGTGAAGACTGCGTCAGTAGTAGGAGCCAGTAGCAACCCCCCGGCGGTGGCGGACCCCCAGGAGGGCCCCAGTGGACTGGCCCAGGCTCAAGCCCAGCATGCCCCGGAGGACTGGGAGAGCCAAGCAGAAGAGGACCCAGACAAAACCTCCATGTCCCTCTGCATCTCAGAGTCTGGCTCCAAAAAGAGCAAGGGTGAGAGTTTATGGAATGCCAACACTGTGGCAGATCTTCAAGATCTTATTGTTGTGTCTATTTTTAGCCTTATTCTCTCCTAAAATATTCTACTGGGCATATCACTTTGGTAACTCTCTTACACTACTCAAGTCCTAATGATCCTGGTCACCACTCCAGTCTGTTATTTTCAGTGTCTGTCTCTCTCTCTTTTTACATCTTGTTGATCTGATTTCTCATTTTTCCTTCCTCCTATCTCCACCCTTCCCTTGTCACTTTATTATCTGCCATCTTAAAGAGGAAACCATTGCTAACCAGAAATGTTTTCTTGAAGAGTAAGTTACCTCACAAGCAGCTCTTAGTAGCTTGGTACAGTAGTGACTAGACTAGAATGCTGTCCATCTATGAAATGTGACATTCACATTTTCTTTCAGATGGTATAACATCCTTTTAATTTTAGGCTGCAACAGCTCCCAGCTGAGTTGTAGGAGCAGTTTTAGGTGCATTTCTGTCAAGGTCGGTGCCATTTTTCTAGACCAGAGTTAGGGCTGGGTGATATGGCCTAAAAATCATATCTCAACGATTCACAATATCTCGATTTTTAAAATGTTTTCTCTAAATAAGCTTTGTTGTACAATTAAAGGTCAGATACACTGCATTTCAATAATCTAATGAATTTCCGGTTTGTGAAATGATATGCTTTTTTGCAATAATCACTGATCTGGCTTTCAAGTCTGTCTGAAAATGCCCTTTTTGTTAAAAATGTAACCAGAACTATGCATAATGCACATTCACTAATAATGACTAACTTCTTGTAGCAGGCATTACAGAAAAATAACATCAGTTTATGAGACTATCTCAAGCACATGCCCACGTGCTAGTGAGTTGCCAGCTAATCTTTATATTTCAAGTTTAGCGAACTTGGAACTACAGTGCATTCGGAAAGTATTCAGACCCCTTGACTTTTTCCACATTTTGTTACATTACAGCCTTATTTTAAAATTGATTTAATTGTTTTTTCCCCCTCATCAATCTACACACAATACCCCATAATGACAAAGCACATCGTGTTCAAGTCCGGGCTCTGGCTGGGCCACTCAAGGACATTCTGAGACTTGTCCTGAAGCCACTCCTGAGTTGTCTTGGCTGTGTGCTTAGGGTTGTTGTCCTGTTGGAAGGTGAACCTTTGCCCCAGTCCGAGGTCCTGAATGCTCTGGAGCAGGTTTTCATCAAGGATCTCTGTACTTTGCTCTGTTCATCTTTCCCTCGATCCTGACTAATCTTCCAGTCCCTGCCGCTGAAAAACATCCCCACAGCATGATGCTGCTGCCACCACCATGCTTTACCGTAGGGATGGTGCCAGGTTTCCTCCAGACGTGACACTTGGCATTCGAGCCAGAGTTCAATCTTGGTTTCATCAGACCAGAGAATCTTGTTTCTCATTGTCTGAGTCCTTTAGGTGGCTTTTGGCAAACTCCAAGCGGGCGTCATGTGCCTTTTACTGAGGAGTGATTTCCGTATGGCCACTCTACCATAAAGGCTTGATTGGTGGAGAGCTCCAGAGATGGTTGTCCTTCTGGAAGGTTCTCCCATCTCCACCGAGGAACTCTGGAGCTCTGTCAGAGTGACCATCGGGTTCTTGGTCACCTCCCTGACCAAGGCCCTTCTCCCCTGATTGCTCAGTTTGGCCGGGCGGCCAGCTCTAGGAAGAGTCTTGGTGTTTCCAAACAAATTCCATTTTAAGAATGATGGAGGCCACTGTGTTTTTGGGGACCTTCAATGCTGCAGACATTTTTTGGTACCCTTCCCCAGATCTGTGCCTCGACACAGTCCTGTCTTGGAGCTCTAATTCCTCCGACCTCATGGCTTGGTTTTTGCTCTTACATGCACTGTCACCTGTGGGAACTTATATAGACAGGTGTGTGCCTTTCCAAAGCATGTCCAATCAATTGAATTTACCACAGGTGGACAACAATCAAGTTGTAGAAACATCTCAAGGATGATCAATGGAAACATAATGCACCTGAGCTCAATTTCGAGTCTCATACCAAAGGGTCTGAATACTTATGTAAATAAGGTTTTTCTGTATTTTATTTTCAATAAATTAGCAACATTTTCTAAAAACCTGTTTTCACTTTGTCGTTATGGGGTATTGTGTGTAGATTTATAAACATTTTTTAGTTAATCCATTTTAGAATAAGGCTGTAATGTAACAAAATGTTGAAAAGGGGAAGGGGTCTGAGTACTTTCCGAATGCACTTTATTTGCTAGTTAACAAGGTAGAACAGTTGAATTGTTAGTCTTTGGCTAAAATGCTGCTAGCAGTACTTGATACCGCAATGATGCGGGCGACAAATTTAGCATTCATTTTCCAGACTCAATGTTCATTGATACTACCGTTTGAGTAGTGTCTGCTCTGCGCGCAATTTGAGTTGAGACATAAAAACGGTATCGTTAGAACGGTTAACTTCTCTTCTATTACAGTAAAATAATGTCTCAATGTGTTTCGGTGTCCATACGACAGATTATGTTGGACCAAACCTCAAAAGCAAATAGCGAGTTGAAACCGCTTGTCAGACAGGAAGAAGTGATCTCTCATCTTTGTTGTTGTGAGTGGCAGGCTTGGTGTGTGTAAATGGGAAGGTGCACAGTATAAGTCTTCAAGGATCCACCTGTACCTGAGACCCGATCCGGGACCCAGAATTCTAAATAATATCACGGGTCTGGGTCGGATTTGATATGATTGTCATGGGTCTCGGTTATGTGTAATTTTAACTGACTTGTCCGGAAGGGCCCGTACAGATCTGAACACAACTGCTGCAGTAGAAAGCGAGAGAGAGAAATTGTTTGATTTATGCTGCTGCTCTTGCTTTTCACGAGTGGAGCGTGATGCGTGTAGCTTGTAGTTGTTGGCTAATCACAAGTCATCAAAGCGGCAATAGGCCCCAGTCATAGAGCCTCCCTGTGGCAAAAGTTAGTATACGGATAGGCTTCAACGGCCAAAAGCCAACAGGTAACGTTAGGCTGCTATTTAGTCTATTAGTCTTGATTGTCCATCTTCCTGAATTAAAATTGTATATTCTAACAGATCAATCTTGCCGGCAAAATGTCATTAAATATTATTGCAAAGTTATTTAGCTATTGTGTGGATGTAGGGCTGTTATTTTTTTGTATATAATGTGCACCCAGATGCAGCATAGGCAACACAATAGTATCAGACAGACAAGCTGGCCCGGGGAAACATTTTTGCAGGCCGCCTCTGCTTTGGCTGCTATGTTGCAATATTAATGAGTGACAATTTACAATTGATCCTACAGTTTCTAAAGATCTGCGTGCCAGTTATGATTTTCATATAAGCATTGTAGGCTACTCGACTGTTCCCAGAAACTGCCCACAAACTGAATAGCCTAGCCTAATTCTAGCTGGCTACAAGACAGAAATGCTGTCCATTCAGCCACACCCCACGGAGCTCCACTATGCCTACCTGTACCGAGGCGCTGTCCAGCAGTGCTGAATCACAGGAACGGCCTTAATGTGTCGATTTTTCTTAATTCCTTGTAGATTGTAGGCCTAAGTAATTCCTTTGTGTGCCTTTTTATTTCAATGCATGTGTAGGATTTATCTGGTATAGTTTGCATTCGCAGTCAGCTGTTTTATGCTTTGGTTACTTTCACATTGATGTCGGTATTTGAAGTGGGCCTTGATAGCGTGTATTATGTATCTATTTCATGTTGCAGTGTATGCACTGTTCCACAAGTAGGCTAAATGAGTCAATGTAGCCTACAGTATGTATGATGAGTTTGAGTAGTACATTGTACACACCATTCCACAGACCTTTAAACCTAATATAAACCTAATATTGGGGTGATAATGTCTGTGGGTCATTTTGTTTTTGCTGTTCTCCAAATAGCATTTTAGTGTTTTAAAATTGTGTAGAAGTACAGTAAATGAGCTTCATCTGGTGGATGTATTTCTACACCCCACTTTGCCATACCCTAGGTTTAGCCGAACTGACACCACTGCCACCCCCAAAACGCAGCACCCCCACCCCCAAACGACTTCCCGCGACTATGTAGAGGACACTATCTCACAGTTACTGTTGAATTATGTTAATTTACGACAACCTCGTCTGGTTTTCTCCTCTTCCTCCCACCAGGAGGCGGCTTGCTGCAAAAGAGTGCCAAACTGTTCTTCCGCCGGCGCCGCCAGTGCAAGGACCCGGGTATGAGCCAGTCGCACAACGACCTGGTGTACCTGGAGCAGCCTGTGACGGTGGACCAGGAGAAACGCACGGCCACTTTCAGCCGGATGTTGAACCGCAAGCTGCTGCCCAAGAGCAAGAGCAAAGCCAACGGCTCCACCACCACCCCGACACCGACTCCCACCCTGGAGGAGCAACACGCAGCCTGACTCCCCCTCCGATAGTTCTGGAGCCCCGCAAGCCGCCACTCCTCCTGCCTCTAACCCCTTCTTTAGTCCTCCAGCCCCCCACTCCACCACCCCTACCACCCTCCTCTAGTCCTCTAGCCCCCCATGCCTCATCCACTTCTACCACCTTGCACTGACCGAGAGATCCCACTTCCCGATCCGTGAATCCTCCACTACTAGTTGGGAAAATATTATCTTTATCTCCTTCTGCTCTTCCTTCACCCTCACCTTGTTTTGAAGCAAACATATTTGACAGGGAGTATATCTGTTTGGGTGATGCTAATTTTAATTGCTTTCACCTTCATGCCATTTCATGAGATCATTTTTTCGTTTGATTTAATTTGACCTTTTTTTGCAACATTATTGCAACATTCTGTATTTGTGGCCTTCTAAACCTTGAGAAGAACTACTGGCGGCCAGCCTGGACCCTCGTCCAATCAGAGGGTAGTAAGGGCAACCTGATGGGGTCTGATAGAAGGTGGACCAAAGGAGAGAAGAGTGGTGTTGACATAATTTGAACATTTCTAGATACATTTTCTAGGTTGTACACTCAAATTTTAAAGTGTAATGACGAGAACTGTTCTTGATAGAGGTTAGCTACACTGAGTATACCAAACATATGGAACACCTTCCTAATATTGAGTTGTCCCCCCCGTCCCCGTCCCCCCTTTGCCCTCAGAACAGCCTCAATTCGTCGGGACATGGACTCTGCAAGGTGTCGAAAGCGTTCCACAGGGATGCTGGCCGATGTTGCCTCCAATGCTTCCCACAGTTGTCAAGTTGGCTGGATGTCCTTTGGGTGGTGGACCATTCTTGATACACACGGGAAACTTTTGAGTGTGAAAAACCCAGCAGCGTTGCAGTTCTTGACACAAACCGGTGCGCATGGCACCTACTACCATACCCCGTTCAAAGGCACTTAAATCTTTTGTCTTGCCAATTCACCCTCTGAATGGCACACATACACAATGCATGTCTGAATTGTCTCAAAGCTTAAAAATCCTTCTTTAACTTGTCTCCTCTTTTTCATCTACATTGATTTGAATTAGATTTAACAAGTGACATAAGGGATCATAGCTTTCAACTGGTCAGTCTGTCATGGAAAGAGCAAAAGTTCTTAATGTTTCTACAGTCAGTGTATATAAATGGTAAGCAGCTTGTGTAGGCCCTATGTGATTGAGATGGGTGCTTGTCGTGTTGACAAAAGGAACCAGTCTGTTCCACTGTAAGGTTGATACTAGTGGGAGATGATAAAGCCTAACATTGTAATACAAGACATCTTATCTAAAATAAATGCACATACAAACCTCAGAGCTACTGTGAAAATCATATGCTAGACTAATAAACATTTCAGAGATAAGTTATGACAGTTCTGTAAATAACACATCTTTGAGGTAAATTTAATTAATTGGTTATTGGAAAGTCATTGAGTTTTAGAATTTCCACTATAAACACTATTTCAAAACAGTGCTGCAACATGGAGAACATGATTTAAATTTTTATATATTAACATTTTTGAACGTTTTTTATTTTGTATTATCACTTTTCTTTTAAAAGCTATTGCAGTGTTTTAAAATGATATGCAATTTCCTGTATTCTGACCTAAAGATTCCCTCTCTACACTACAACTCTGTCTGGGGTTGGTGAAGTGGTAACTAGAATCCCAATGATCTCATGTGCTGAGAGAGGGAAAGAAAGTGATACTACCCCAAGGCATACTTATTGCAGTGTTCACAAAAAACGCAGTGTTGATGCACTCATCCATTTCCACTGAATGACTTGTGTTTTTGCTATGTTTTTTGTTTTAAAAATGAAACATTGTCTTAACTGAAAGGGTGATAATGAAAGTCTGGGAAATCTGAATGGTTTGACTGCTTTGGGCTTTTACCTAGCTAATGATTGTACTGTTATTTTTCTTAAACCGGTAAATTAAATGAGTGTTGTCTTCGATATTAATTCCCTTTGTGTTAACTACTGTTTTTCTTCTCAGTGAATGAACCTCCTGAGAGGACTGCTATACTCTTATGGACATGATTGCTGTACTCAAGATGGACATAGTCAGATGCCCTACTGTTTACAATGCTTTTGAAAAGACTGGAGAACAGTTATTCTACCGGTGTAGTAGTGACAAACTGTAGTGGGAGGGATTACCTCTTGGAAATTGTCAATTTTTCAGGTATGAACAGTTTTAGAATGACCTGGGGCCTGTGTGACCCTGGCCTTGCTGTCCCTGGACGGCAGTAGCTGTGCTTTCTATGCCTATCATCTGGTGTTTTCAGAGGACTTGTGAATGTTGCTATATGGCTTTAAGATGTGATAGAGGGGCCAGCTCAATTCCCCCTCTCAACAACCCATATGAAAACGGTATAATCAAGGAGCCCAGATTTTATCATATCCAGGAATGACTGACTGACTGATTACACTGGGGGTATCTGGTTGCTGGGGAAAAAATGCATGCCTTTTATGTTGATCTAGAACAACCGCATTAATGAAGTTATCTCCTGCATATACTGTACGGGTTATATTTGAAGTGGTGGGCTGGCCATAGGCAGTTTGGGCAAATTCCAGATGGCCTGGTCAATGTTTTGCCAATTGGGCCTGTCAAAATGTAGTGCCAAATTTTAATTATTTGGCTAATAATGAGGGCCTTGAGGAAAAAGATTGGCCAGGCTGGGGGCCTTGAACAAAATGGGCCAGTGTGTTAGAAATGCCTGGGCTGATTTCTGGTACCAGTCTGTCGCTGTTTGAAAAGTTGTGGGTCAAATATTGACATGGGCTGCTGGTAGAGTTTCCAATGGTCTGACTGCTCCCTGTTTTAGTAAATAAGATTCCTTTTAGAGCCATCTTGCATATTGAGGTGTATGCCGAAGCCCAAAGTCATCTAAAAAGAATGTGGGAAGTTTTAACCATGCTAACTTGTTTCTCAGCCGAAAACATGGCTACCAACAAGTGCAAGATTATGCATTTCAATAAGCAGTGGGCCTGTACAGTGGGGGGAAAAAAAGTATTTAGTCAGCCACCAATTTTGCAAGTTCTCCCACTTAAAAAGATGAGAGAGGCCTGTAATTTTCATCATAGCTACACGTCAACTATGACAGACAAATTGAGATTTTTTTTCTCCAGAAAATCACATTGTAGGATTTTTAATGAATTTATTTGCAAATTATGGTGGAAATAAGTATTTGGTCACCTACAAACAAGCAAGATTTCTGGCTCTCACAGACCTGTAACTTCTTCTTTAAGAGGCTCCTCTGTCCTCCACTCGTTACCTGTATCAATGGCACCTGTTTGAACTTGTTATCAGTATAAAAGACACCTGTCCACAACCTCAAATAGTCACACTCCAAACTTCACTATGGCCAAGACCAAAGAGCTGTCAAAGGACACCAGAAACAAAATTGTAGACCTGCACCAGGCTGGGAAGACTGAATCTGCAATAGGTAAGCAGCTTGGTTTAAAGAAATCAACTGGGGGAGCAATTATTAGGAAATGGAAGACATACAAGACCACTGATAATCTCCCTCGATCTGGGGCTCCACGCAAGATCTCACCCGTGGGGTCAAAATGATCACAAGAACGGTGAGCAAAAATCCCAGAACCACACGGGGGGACCTAGTGAATGACCTGCAGAGAGCTGGGACCAAAGTAACAAAGCCTACCATCAGTAACACACTACGCCGCCAGGGACTCAAATCATGCAGTGCCAGACGTGTCCCCCTGCTTAAGCCAGTACATGTCCAGGCCCGTCTGAAGTTTGCTAGAGTGCATTTGGATGATCCAGAAGAGGATTGGGAGAATGTCATATGGTCAGATGAAACCAAAATAGAACTTTTTGGTCAAAACTCAACTTGTCGTGTTTGGAGGACAAAGAATGCTGAGTTGCATCCAAAGAACACCATACCTACTGTGAAGCATGGGGGTGGAAAGATCATGCTTTCGGGCTGTTTTTCTGGAAAGGGACCAGGACGACTGATCCGTGTAAAGGAAAGAATGAATGGGGCCATGTATCGTGAGATTTTGAGTGAAAACCTCCTTCCATCAGCAAGGGCATTGAAGATGAAACGTGGCTGGGTCTTTCAGCATGACAATGATCCCAAACACACCGCCTGGGCAACGAAGGAGTGGCTTCGTAAGAAGCATTTCAAGGTCCTGGAGTGGCCTAGCCAGTCTCCAGATCTCAACCCCATAGAAAATCTTTGGAGGGAGTTGAAAGTCCGTGTTGCTCAGCGACAGCCCCAAAACATCACTGCGCTAGAGGTGATCTGCATGGAGGAATGGGCCAAAATACCTGCAACAGTGTGTGAAGAATTACAGAAAACATTTGACCTGTGTCATTGCCAACAAAGGGTATATAACAAAGTATTGAGAAACTTTTGTTATTGACCAAATACTTATTTTCCACCATAATTTGCAAATAAATTCATAAAAAATCCTACAATGTGATTTTCTGGATTTTTTTTCCTCATTTTGTCTGTCATAGTTGATGTGTACCTATGATGAAAATTACAGGCCTCTCTCATCTTTTTAAGTGGGAGAACTTGCACAATTGGTGGCTGACTAAATACTTTTTTCCCCCACTGTATATGATCAAACTGCTTCCTGACATTTAATATTGGCATTGGCTCTGTGAAATGCACAGAACCTGGTTGACTGCTTATATTGAATGTCAGTCAATGCCATGCAGGGATTATTACTAATTATTGACATATCAGGTTTATCATCTTGAGCAATAAATATTGTCTGAATAACCACTGAAGTGTGCTGTTCTTTCAATCTGTGAAAAAATGTTTATTGCCTTTTTCTGATTAAAAGGGCTAAATGTATTTTTTATTTTTGGAGGCCACAACTATTTTATGCAATTAAATGTTTACGTGTAATCCAGTGTTCATATGGATATCACATCTACACCAGAGATGCTTGTGTCTCTGCCAATGATTGCATTCGGAAAGTATTCAGACCCCTTGACTTTTTCCACATTTTGTAACTTTACAGCCTTATTCTAAAATGGATTAAATAAATGTTTTTCCCTCAACAATCTACACACACTACCCCATAATGACAAAGCAAAAACAGGTTTTAAGACATTTTTGCTAATTTATTAGAAAAAAAAAAAAAAAAACATTTTTACGTAAGTATTCAGACCCTTTGCTATGGGATATGAAATTTAGCTGAAGTGCATCCTGTTTCCATTGATCATCCTTGAGATGTTTCTACAACTTGATTGTAGTCCACCTGTGGTAAATTCAATTGATTGGACTTGCTTTGGAAAGGCACACACCTGTCTATACAGTGGGGGAAAAAAGTATTTAGTCAGCCAACAATTGTGCATGTTCTCCCACTTAAAAAGATGAGAGAGGCCTGTAATTTCATCATAGGTACACGTCAACTATGACAGACAAATTGAGATTTTTTTTCTCCAGAAAATCACATTGTAGGATTTTTAATGAATTTATTTGCAAATTATGGTGGAAAATAAGTATTTGGTCACCTACAAACAAGCAAGATTTCTGGCTCTCACAGACCTGTAACTACTTCTTTAAGAGGCTCCTCTGTCCTCCACTCGTTACCTGTATTAATGGCACCTGTTTGAACTTGTTATCAGTATAAAAGACACCCGT